TACAATTCCTATCACAATCCATACATCCATCCATTGTGTAAAGCACATTTGTACATTCATTGCCCTCATCATTCTCAAAACATTTCCTCTCCACTTAAGCCCCTGGCATCGGCTCCTCATTTTTCCCCTCCCTCTCTGCTCCCCCCTGCCTCATGAACCCTAGATAATTTATAAATTATTATTTTGTCATATCTTACGCTGTCCAATGTCTCCCTTCACCTACTTTTCTGCTGTCCGTCCCCCAGGGAGGAGGTTAGATGTAGATCCTTGTAATCGGTTCCCCCTTTCCACCCCTACCCACTCAGTATCGCCACTCTCAGCACTGGTTCTGAAGGGATCACCCGCCCTGGCGTCTCTGTAAGCCTCTGTCTTTTAAGAGGGGACAAGAAGATTCAGAATTAAAGTACAGTCAGTAGCCATGTAAGGAGAAACCTCCACAAACTGTTTTGGAGCCAAGTATGTTTGTTTGACTCTCAACAGTTGCTTGTGGACGTGAATCCTGAATATAGAGTATCAATTTCTGTTTCTGAGTATGTGTTTGAAGACAGTGTTTGCTTCTTGGGGTGGTATCAACAGTAAGTGATAGAGAGCCAGCCAGCCCCAACTGTATATGTTCTGTATTACCGGGAGGTAGTCGATTGATTGACTGAACCCAAATGGTTAACAGCAAAGTGAAGTCTCCCTAGTCCTCCAGGGAGAGAACCAGTCTTTCTGAATGACAGAGGATGCAAAATTCTCATTATACCTTTCAGTTTGTTGAAGAAAAAGGGACGATTTTCTTTTAAGATTGTATAAGCATCGTCTGATTTTGTTGTTTGTCATGGAGGAGCAGTTTGAAGTTGGCACCTGTCTCCGTTTCCTAGTGCTGCTATAACAGAAGTGGGTAGGTAGCCCAGTTGGGGAGCCTCTTGAGTCCACCATCAGAGTCTCAGCCATGCCGGTTCCTTCCTTTATGTAGTCTCAGGCATTCCTTGGTTCCTTGGCTTTGTAGGCAGTCCTCAGGTGGCACCTGCTATCCATGTGCCCTCTCCCTTCAATCCCCCATCCTGTATGTACAATTCTCTCTGTCTTATTCCAGAGTGGTTAGATTGATAGCCTATCCTTCTTTGGAATGATCAAATTCATATAATGAAGAAAACTCTATCTCCAAATAAAATTGCCAGTATAGGGCTAGAATGCCAACACTTATTGAAGAGAGGAGGCAAAATTGAATTCATAATAGCAATGTGGTATTTGTGGTAGTTGAGGAAATTCTTGGAAAAGGAGAATGTTCCTTTCCAATGCTATGTAATATGTTTTTCTTCTTTCTGGAGAGACTGTAGTGAGTTTAACTCCAAGGAATGATTTGAGCTGAAAACGTGGACAATTTCTCTATGAAACAAAGGAGAATAAATTTCCAAGTTTGTTCCAAGAGGACTTGTGCTGAATTGCTTTAGAACTGATTCCTGGTGGACCTCAAAGTAATTATACTGACTAAAAGAAGTCAGACAGCATGTGATTCCAATTATATAAAATTCTAGAAAATAACAGACCAACCTGTAGGGATACAGAGCAGATCCGTGGTTGGCTAAGGTGGTGGCAAGGGCAGGGAGGGCTAACTGAAGGCCTGAGGAAACCCTGGCCTGATGGAGATGCCCACTACCTTCATTGTGATATTACTTCCTTATCAAATGGTACATTTTAAATATATGAGGTTTATTTGGTCAATTTCTACCTCAATAAAGCTTTTAAGAAAAGAGAAACTCCAGGTTTAACATTGGTCAGTGTGCTCTTTTCTGAAATAAAGGAGGCTGCTGAAGAAAATATCACAAGTGAAATTCCAGTACAATTGAATGTATTTGTTCTTTTCTTTTAGGAGTCCATAGAGGCTGCTGTATCCTACTGAAGATGTCTAACAGCAACACTACTCAGGAGACCCTGGAAATAATGAAAGAATCGGAAAAAAAACTGGTGGAAGAATCTGTAAACAAAAGCAAGTTTATATCAAAGGCTCCAAGTAAGGAAGACATTGAGAGAGATGGTGAAGAGACCAGCTTGCGCCAGGAAACACAGGTGAGGATTAGAAGTGCATCACATGTGTGCACATTGCTTATCCTTGAATGGAAGTATGATAGGGTGGCACTGGAAATCCATAGAAAGCCAATTACTTATAGCGACAATCTTGATTCTCGCTATAAACTCCAGCTTCAGCTTTCGAGAAACATTTCCCCTTATTGACTTCATTGAAGTCCAAAGAGGACAAAGTAAAATTTCTAATTTACTGGGGTCTGGCTCCACTGATTGTTGGCTGTATTTCCTATACTTTGTTATTTTCAGGATATCAAAATAATAATAAATTATATACAAGCATATTTAACAAAATGGCTCATACTTTTAACTCTTGAAACTGGAGCTTCCTGGCTTTACAGTGTTATGTTCATGTCTTGGCAGTGTTAAAACAGCATTTTCTAGGTCAGAAATAGTCTCTTTAACTTGTCACTTTCCATCTAAATTCATATTGCTATACCAAAATGGTGGCAGTAGATGGCAAGCCAAGTTTCTCCCAGGGTTTCCCGTGGGTGCCCAGCCAGCCCGGCGTCTTTAGCCACCACTAACCAACTGTTTGTAGCCCTGTGGTCATTCTGATTTCCTGTTTTACCCAAACCCAAACCCAAATTGAATGCATCCTTTTCTTCATGCTCAGGGGTCTGATTGGCCCTTTTTATAATCTTGGGAGATAATTATTCTAGCTAATTAGTCATTTAAAAAGCAGGAACAACAACGTTTTGAAAGGTTTAGAAACTTGAAGCATGATTTCTCTAGATGTGCCAGTTCACCTAGATCTTATCTTGAAAGATGAAAGCGGAAATTAGACAGCTCTCCAAAATACTTTGTTTTCTATTTTTCTGCTGTCTTTCCTCTGGCTCTCTGTCCTGGCTGCTTTTCTTTCCATTATCTTTTCACATATGAGTTAGTGGTTATCATTCTCCATTCATCTTTCCAGAGCTTTGGAGACAAGACTGTCTGCTACTGTTCTAACTATACCTCTAGGCTAACTATACCTCTGTACTGATACTAATAATGAATTTTCAGTCCTCAGCACAAATAAATGTTAGATTTTGATCATGTGTTGTCATATTACGTGAAAGATAATCAAATGGACTTTTGGTTCCAAGTTTTATTCTTAAAAGACTCTATAAAATCTGTTCTGAACTTCTGTTCTATGTACTTCTTAAAGACAGGCAGGGTTTTAAAAAAAAGGACATCTATAGGTTTTATAAATGAGAGCTCTAGTAGCATATGAGATTACAAGTTGGGCTCCTAACCTCAAGGTCAGTTGTTCAAACCCACCAGCTGCTCCACGGAAAAAAGATGAAGCTTTCTGCTAGTCAGGATTTACGCCTTGGGACCCTAAAGGCACAGTTCTGTTCTGTTCTGTTCCGTACGGTCACTAAGTCAGAATGGACTCAGTGGCAGCGGGTTTGGTTTGGTTGGTTCTGGATACACGCAAGGAACCCTGGTGGTGACGTTAGTGGGTAAGCATTGAATGACAGGCCTGTGGTTCAAACCCACTAGCCACACCAAGGCAGAAAGATGTCTGCTCCTGTAAAGATTCACAGCCTTGGAGACTTTCTTTATGCAATATCACTGTAAGTCCGAATCTACTCATTGACCGTAGAGTTTAGGTGCTCACTGATTTAAGTGTTTGAGCCTGTACATCCTAGGATGTTTCCAAAAGTCTATGGGAAAATTCCATTATCTGTTCTTTCTTTTTTTCCATGAACTTTTTGAAGCCCCCTGGTACAAAAAGGTGTGGAAGCTGGGGCTTAGGGTGGGCTGCCTGCTCTCTGATTTGACTCCTGCGCCTGCTGTTCAAGTAGGTGGAGAGCTGCTGCTGCCATCTGCTGGAGCTTATGAGCCTTTTGCAAAGTCTTTGGTCTTAATCCTTCCTCCTGTGGACCAGGGCCTTAGGAAGCTCTGCCTTCCACTATTTCCCAACCGCTCGTTTCCTTTGAATGCCTATAAAAAGTCTATTCTTTTTCTTACCTCTCCTACATACCCCAGACATCTCCTCAAAAACTAACTGATGAACGGGAGCTGGAAGGTATGGGGTAAGAGAACTTTGGACTGTGTGAAATGCATACCTGGGTCAGTGATTGAAACTCAAATCTCCGTTTCTGCAGAAGAGTGATGCAAAAGACAGGTTCTGAGATTTCTTTTAGGATAGCAAAGCAAGCCCCCACTGAACACATAGTGAACTTAGGTGTGCCGTCTCAATAATGGTAGTTCCCTTCAGACGCTGCCTTAGGCTGAATCCTAGATTTCTCAGCATGACAGGCTGTAACCTATTCCCTTGCCTGTCAAGCCACCCTCACCCTACCTCTAATATCTGTTTCATACATATTTATCCTTAAAACTCAATTCAGATGTGTCTTTCTCTAGGAAGTCTTCCTTGGCAACCTTATTCCTCTCATTCCAGGTCTATACTCATATCCTTCATTTAAATCTTACTCCTTCACAGAGCTACAAGCTCTTTCAGACCCAGAATTAGGTTACTGTGGGCTTCCCATTGTATTCCCAAGACGAAACAAAGTGGCTTGCACATAGCAAACACTATTAGTGGATGTATGAATTTCCGTATTACTAGGACTGAGTTTGATGCTTTGCTATCTGCTGTGTGCTCTTGGAGCAATTCCTGTGAACCTCTGGAATGCATGTTTTGTACCATGTTGTAATTGTCTGTTTGTCTGTCTTCTTCAACAGGATTATGAGTTTCTTTTTGACAAGGTTTGTGCCTTTTATCTTTGTATTTCCCAGTAGCTAGCATGGTGCCTGTCACATGTTAGGCTTTCGATATATGTTTGATTTTCTGATAGATAAAAACTATCCATTCTGAGAAGTAAGCAAAGTCATAGGTTGTTGGCAGGGGTGAAAGTGGTACAACCTCTTTGAAAGACAATTTGATGATACTCTATACCAGTGGTTCTCAACCTTCCTAATGCTGCGACCCTTTAAGAGAATTCCTCATGTTGTGGTGACCCCCCCATCATAAAATTATTTTCATTGCTACTTCATAACTGTAATTTTGCTACTGTTAGGAATTGTGAAAAGGTGGTTCAACCCCCCCAAAGGGGTCGCAACCCACAGGCTGAGAACCACTGCTCTATACAAATGAAAATGGACGCTTCTAGAATTTTATTCAGCAGATATACGGTATTTGTAGACATATTCAAAGTTCATTTAAAGTAGCAAGAGAATATAAGCCTCCTGAATGGTACAATTTAAAAGACTGGTAAAAGAAGTTATGGTATAGCCACATAACAAGAAAAACATGGTGTTTTCTATAGAATTATATCCTTGTGGGGGGAGGGGGAGTTAAGCATAGTCCAATGCAACGTGTACAGCATACTTCTACTTGTTAAAAACAACAACTGTGTGCATGCATGTGCTTATGAGCTTCTATGTGCATAAAAGATCTGTGGAAATATCAAGAAAAGTTAATAATGGTTGCCACTTTAGGAGTGCTGGGGTCTGATGTGAAAGGGCTATTTTTAATTATATTATACCTCTTAAAGGTTTGTAATTTGAAATGGATAGTGGCAAATACTGCTTCAAATTCTAGAACTGCTGCTCTTTCTGTTGCTGCAACAGATCTTGCCACTGATAAAGACATGTCTGCTCTCCTGGTTCTCCGGCATAACTAGTAAAGAAGAGAAGGGGAAGAGAATCCCCTTCCTGCCCCATCCTTGCTGCTACTCTGCCTCTGTCTGGTTTCTTCTCCCCCATGCTCCTGCCTCAGTTCTTTGAGTTTCATTCCAAACATCTCATAACTGCTGCATGCATCATTATCCCACATATAAGCCATCCCCTTTTCCCCAAAGCCTGAATTTTTACTTCACAGCTATTTGGAAACTTTATCAATTAATTAGTGATTTCTTCTATCATGCCACCTTAAGTCCTCAATCTAACTTCCTTAGTTTCCATTTTGTGCTTTGCACATTCTTTCTCCCATTTGCTCTGGATGTCTTATTTTTGTCTTTCCTCTTAACCCACCCCATCTTATACCCCTGACCCAGGTAGGCTATAAGAACCACCACCAGGAGCTTAGACCTGGGAGAGCCCTTATTCAGAAAGGGGACCATTAGGAAGAAGAGTCTTCATTGTTTTCCTGCAGCCATAGGGGGTATCTTCGGGCATCTCAAGTCTGAATTTCATGCTGTCCTATAAAGATGCTAGTATAAGTTATGACTGCGGCTCAGAAGGTACTGTCTGTAGGGTTAGATAGTCTTGTGTTCAAATCTGGGGAAAGTGCCCTCTTTTACAGAAGCATCCTCATCAGGAGAGGAAACCATGGTTTGTCCAAAAGTAATTTTTCTCAGCTTGTGAAATGGGCCAGCCTATTGTTGAGTGCCCTGTTGAGTTGTGATTTGGCCTTATGTGGACTATATATATAGTCCCTTCTGTGTCACAGATGCTAGAAGTGCATTACACAGAGAAAGTAACACTGGTTCTCCTGGCTTGCCTACTGTAATGGCTTTCACCGGGGATATTTTTGGTAAGATGTATTGCTTGTCATTTAAGTTGACATTTCCCCTGCTTATGTTCTAATCCTGTTCTGACAGAGGCGGACATCCAACCATGGTCACGCCAGGAAACGAGCCAAGGTGAGACCCCTTCTGCTTTCTTTACTTGGGTCATTCATAATAATTTTTGCACATGTATACACACATATGTCCTATTCATCTGGTTTTATTTTCTCCAGTATCGTGAGTTCAGGCACAGTCTAATACTGATGCTTGAAAGGACACCCACCTGGGGCCTCTGAGCAGAGCCGGGAGCACTGGTCTTTGTTCTACTGTGCAGCCAGTTGTTCTGCTCGCCTCAGACTTCTTTAGGAGGATGGCTGCCCACGTCCTTTTTGTTTTTGTAGGGTCTTGGGGGGGCGGGGTGCAGGGGGGAAGGGGGGAAGAGAGGTGTTAGTCATGTAAGTTTTTCTTTAAGATAAATCTTGCTCCATTAGTAGAAATGACCCAACATTTTTGGATAGCCTAAAAATACAGGCATTTTTTGATGTTTTTACTTTTTAGGTTAGGGCAAGGAGGAGGGTTTTGTTTTGAATCATCGTATGATAAAATTAGTAATAAGCACAGGTTATTTTAAGGAGAATTATCAGGAAAGACTATATGTGTTGGTGTGTGATAGCTTTTTAATTAGCTAGCGAACGGTAAAATATCAAACTTTTCTTGCAAGGAGGAGCATTGTCACCAGAAGTAATAATTATGGGTGCCAACCCCCTTCCACCCGAAAAATAATGTCAACGTCTAGTGACTGAGCTGGAATGTGGCCTGGGTTTGAAGAAGACCAGGCAGCCTGAGAAATGGGCTCTGCCCTGCCCTGCATGGCCTAATCCACAGTGATGGGCATAATATTGAAGGGTAAACCCAAAGGGTGCCACTTTCTGCTACTTGGATTCCTCCGAGACTTTTGGGGCTAAATAAAATAGTTACTATCTTCATTTTACAGATGAGGAAACCTGGACATAGAGAGATTGAGTAACTTGACTCAGGAGAGTCTGTAGCAAGTGGCAGAACTAGCCTTGAAGTCAGGTCTTCAAATTGCATATTCTTTTCACTATCCTGCATTACCTGGCATGCACATACCATGTCTTGTACTTTTCATCTTAATTATAAACCTTGACCGTATTGTAGGAACTCTCAATAAATGTTCATAGATGTGTGGCGTAGTGGTTACATACTGGGCTGCCAACCACAAGGCCAGCAATTCGAAACCACCAGCCGCTCCAAGAGAGAAAGGCTGGGCTTTCTACTCCCGTGAAGAGCTACAGTCTCGGAAACCCATAGGGGCACTTCTACCCTGTCCTCTAGGGTCAGTATGAATCAGAAATGACTCAGTGGCAGTGACTTTGTGTTTTGGTTGTATCAGAGCAGTGATTGGTACAGTAGATTTCAGATCCTTTTTGAAGAGTGGGGGTGGGGAAGCAGATTCTGTAACCAACTGAAGTAATCCAAATGGATTAGCTTTTTATAGCATTAAATCAGCAGTACACATTTGTCTTTTTTTATTCTTTTTTTAGACACTTCTTTCCATACCCTTACCACTTCGGGTTTGGCATTATTTAACACTTATTGTCTAATATATACCAAGGAATGAGCCCTGATGCCATAGTGCAGTACATATTTGGCTACTAACCAAAAGATTGACGGTTCAAACCCACAAGGTGTTCCATGGGAGAAAGATGAGGCTGAGGCTGTGAGTCTTATAGCTCCTACCGACAAAATTAGGAGTTGAAGTTGGGCCTTCTGGCTCTCAGATCCACTGTTTTTTTCTGCAATGTCATACTGCTGTGTAGTCACAGTAAACTTCTGAGTCTGAAATTTGGGCTAGACTGCTATTACAGGATAAAGCATCTAGGGTCTTAAAGGCTTGAAGGGAAACAAGCAGCCATCTAGCAGGAAAGCAACAGAGCCCATGTGGAAGAAGCACACCAACCCATGTGATCACGAGGTGTTGATGGGATCAGGTATTAGGCATCAGGCGTCAAAAGACTCAAACAACCATTTTGATGTGAACGACGGGGGTCGAAATGGAGACTCAAAGCCCATCTGTAGACCAATTGGACGTCCCCTCACAGAAGGGTCACAAGGAAAGGACAAGCCAGCCAGGTGCAGTATAGCACCAACAAAACACACAACATTCTTCTAGTTCAGTGGTTCTCAACCTTCTTAATGCTGTGACCCTTTAATACAGTTCCTCATATTGTGGTGACCCCCCCAACCATAAAATTATTTTCATTGCTACTTCATAACTGATTTTGCTACTGTTATGAATTCGGTGACCCCTGTGAAATGGTTGTTCGACTCCCAGAGGGGTCTCGACCCATAGGTGGAGAACTGCTGCTCTAGTTCTTTAATGCCTCCTCCCCTGCCACTATTATGACCCCAGTTCTACCTTACAAATCCGTCTAAACCAGAGCATGTACACTGGTACAGAAAAGAGCTCTCGATGCACAGAATCCAGGACAGATAAACCCCTCAGGACCAATATTGAGAGTAATGATACCATGAGGGTAGGGGGAAGGTGGAGGGAGACGTGGGGAGAATGGGGAACTGACCAAAATGATCAACATACAACCCCCGCCCCCCAGGGGGACGAACAACAGAAATGAGGGTGAAGGGAGACAGTGGATGGTATAAAATATGAAAATAAAAGTAATTTGTAAATTATCAAGGGTTCTCAAGGTGGTGGGGAGAGAGGAGCTGATACCAAAGGCTCAAGTAGAAAGAAAATGTCTTAGAAATGATGATGGCGACATATGTACAAATGTACTTGATACAGTTGATGTATGGATTGTTATAAGAGCTGTAAGAGCCCCCAATAAAATGATTAAAACTTTTTATAAAAAGAAAGAAATTTGAGCTAGAAAGAAAGAGGATTGAATGAGGTAATTTTCCAGTTCTCTCTCCAAAATAGCCATTTTTGTTTGACATACCTACTGTTGCAAGCAAGCCCATCATTTTTCAAGTGAATCAGGAACTGATAGTAGGATCTATTTGGGGGAAGGGGGAAATGCTATTTAATGCAAATAGCAGCAGAGCCAAATAGGATGCTTTTCATTTAGCCAAAAGCTTTCTGAGCGCCCACCAAGAGAATATTTATGTGTATTTGGTTTTCCTAGTCTAATTCCAAGCTGAAGTTGGTGCGCAGCCTGGCAGTGTGTGAGGAGTCCTCCGCCCCATTTACTGATGGGCCACTGGAGACCCAGGTAGGTCCTTCACAGGACTTGGTGCTTTTTTGTTGTTTTGAGCTTGGCAGTTGTTTGGTAAAACGTAGCATAACAACCAGCAGAACAACCTCCACTATCAAGCTGGGGAATCAGGACAGAAGGAGCTTCAAAACAAAGCTATTCCAGTAAAGGATATGCGGGAGATCAATGAGGTCTTCACACCTAGACCTCCCAGGATGATGCTGACCAGGCTTCCATCCGAGGTCTGAGTCTTTTTTTCCCATACACTCTTCCTCTTTCCATCTGACAATTAGTCCAACCGGGCAGTGTCACAGTGAGCTTTTCACAAAGTAGACACGATTGCTAACAGGAAAGGCATAACTAGCCTTTACCTTTTGATAGAATGAAAGCACCAGCAAAAAAATCTCATTAACGTAATACGTTTCTAAGAGGAAGTTGCCACCCCAAGATTTACCCTCTTTGAGACTCCAAGGGAGCTTCGAGACAATTCAAGTCCCCTTTCCTCCCTTGGTTTAAATGCATCTTTCTCTTTGCCCAAGGATATAATTCAGTTGCATATCAGTTGCCCCTCTGACAAAGAGGAGGAAAAGTCTACAAAGGATGTCTCTGAAAAGGAAGACAAGGACAAAAATAAAGAAAAGATCCCAAGGAAGATGCTGTCCAGAGGTGAGAACTTATCCCCTCTCTCCTCTCTCCTAGCACCCACTGCTCTTCACTGGCCCAGCAGCTGACTGCAGTGTTGCCTGGGCGGTACCTCACTTGCTTACTTTTAGTGCTTCTCTAATACCCTGTGCTAGGGGCTCACAAGACCCGAGCAGAGAAGTACTTTATCTGCATTGATCTGCTCATTGGAGTACATTGCAGTCTGATCTGATTTTATTTGTGTTTCTGGAATAAACTAGGACATGGATAATCACTGGTAGCAGGTCCTCCAGATACCATATACATTTTGGTTTGGGGATGGCTGGAATCATTATATTTGTCTCTATTTATTAGGTTTTCTTTGGGTTTAAATTCTTGGGCTCGAAGGAAAAAGACATAGCCCATAAAAATGATAGTTGGCAGCAAAAAGACAATCCTGACATTAAATACTGAAGCGAATCATCCACCAAGTGAAATGAGTCACCCATAAATGATCAGCATGTTAGAGTGAGCTCGTTCGGTGAGATGCTGGAAAACCCAGCCCTGACTGCCCTTACCTGGAATTTATTTTTGTTTGCTAAAATAAAATCTATTTTGTTTGGACCAAGGCATTCTGTAAATACGTATTATTAATGAGAAGGTGGCTTTTTAGTGTGGCACTGATGCAACAATATGACCCAGAGTCCTCATTCTGTCATGCTTGTAGGGGATTTTGGTGGGGCTGGCAGATCAAATCATTCTAGTTTTTAGTGCTACGACCCCTGAAGGTTAATTTCATTTTTCTATCGTCCTGTCTCCTGATCCCTTGTAGACTTCTGTTTATAGGCAGGTGTGCAAGGCAGTTTCATTTATTTTATATTTCTTTTGTTGTGGTGGTTCTAGACTCCAGCCAAGAGTATACGGACTCCACTGGAATAGACTTACATGAATTTCTTGTAAATACACTGAAAAAGAACCCAAGGTAATGACATGATTTGGTGGAAGGTGGGTGGGGCCAGAGCCAGAAGGATACCTAAGAGACCAAGCAGCTTCCCAGACTTCTCCTATTATTAGATTCTAGCCGCCTGACCCTTACCTTCCTCTCTCTCCTGTGTGCTTTTATATTCTGGGAAGAATTCAGAATACCCTCAGATTGAGATTTATGCTTTCTGGGGAGTTGAGGAAAATGTGATCAAAGAAGAAAACAGGGACAAAGAAAAATGTAAAGGCTTGTCAGTGCACTGTGACAAAAATTAAATGCAGAAGAAAAATAATGGTTTGTATATAACACAGGCCCCCAAACTTACTTGTCCGACTGTTCCCTTTTCAGAAAATCAAACAACCAAAAAATTACTTAGCACCCCCTGGCAATTAAAAATGTTTGCACCCCCACCCTCTCCACCCCCACCCCCAATCATTCCATTGCCTCCTAGGGGGCGGTATCACTCACTTTGGGGAACACTGGCATGTAAGCTCAGTTGTAATTGCTTAAGATTTCTGTAGGTCCTCCTTGGGACAGAAATGTAGGTGAAGGGAGACAGAAATGTGGATGAAGGGAGACGTCAGATAGGGCAAGATATAACAAAATAATAATTTATAAATTATCAAGGGCTCATGAGAGAGGGAGGAGTGGGGAGGGAGGGGAAAAATGAGGACCTAATGCCGAGGGCTTAAGTGGAGAGGAAATGTTTTGAGAATGATGAGGGCAATGCATGTACAAATGCGCTTTACACAATTGATGTATGTATGGATTGTGATAAGAGTTGTATGAGCCCCTAATAAAATGATTTTTAAAAAAAAGATTCCTGTAGGTAACCAGATATATAAGAATGAACCAGATGAGAAGGGTTGCCAAACAGAATTAGATTTCTGATGGAAAGCAAGATGCACAGCACATTCAGAAGGCATTGCAGAAGGTCAGCTTGAGCTATTGTAGCCAATAGTAGCGTAGGCTAGTGAGACCGAGTCACCTTTGCATTAAAGTCTGCACTTGGCATTCAGCTGTACCCTCCCTTTGTTTTCTGTCATGAACAAGTTGGGTTACCTTCAACCCTTGCTCCCAAGGTCTGTTAAACCCTGGCCTTTTCTTTGGTTTACGTCTTTTTTTTTTTTTTTAAACAGGGACAGAATGATGCTGCTAAAATTAGAACAGGAGATTCTGGACTTTATTAATGACAACAAGTAAGTTACTTGTGTGGAACACACATTTAGTGGTGGGAGCAGACACTGGAAGGAAATGTAGGTACAATTTTAGGACATCTGCCCATCAATTTTTTTCTTAAAGTCTGAGTTTTGAGGTAATCACTCATTGAGAACTAAAAAGAGTTGGGGGAAAGAAATCACAGTAGGACTAAAAATAATGTGAGTGAAAAATACAATGAGGTTTTCAGTTAGTTGTACAGATTTGAGTTGGAAAAGTTTCCTCTTTTTAACACTCTGCTTTCAACTGCTCCAGGTGTCTTGATGCTTAATTCTCCCTTTTCCTTAAAGCATTGTTTGGGTGGGGGACGTACAGCTTAAAGAGCCCTCCTAGGAGCTGATACCAAGGCTCAAGTAGCAAGAAAATGTCTTGGAAATGATGATGGCAACATATGTACAAATGTGCTTGATACAATTGATGTATGGATTGTTATAAGAGCTATAAATAAAATGATGAAAAGAAGAAAAAAAAGAGCCCTCCTAATGAGAATAGTGGGTCAGAGGGCTTGGCAATACTGTAGATAAAGAAGTTGAGGACGTCTTTCTGACTCTCGTGGAGTAAATATCTATCTTCCTTGTAATGAATAGACTTTGTTTGCGGGTTTATTTCTTTCACCTAAGACATTCCTCTTTTAGACGCCCATAAGAAAAAGTCCAAAGGGCTGTTACAGCTGAGATTTGCCCTTACTTCATTTTCTTTTCCCCTGGGGTTCCTTCAGTAACCAGTTCAAGAAGTTTCCCCAGATGACCTCCTATCACCGGATGCTATTACACCGGGTAGCTGCCTACTTTGGGATGGACCACAATGTTGATCAAACTGGGAAAGCTGTCATCATCAACAAAACCAGTAACACAAGAATGTAAGGGACTGGGTGGGTGAGGGTCCTGTGGGAGCCAGCGCTCTCTTCTGGGGAGTGGGTGTTGTGGAGAGCTGTGCCGTCAAGTCCCTCACGCAGTCAAGTCCCTCACGCACAGCAGCTCCTCCATTCAAGGCCTAGGGGACAGATAGTTGTAAAGATTGGCATTAGCCTTTGTTTACCTTCACTAATAGGACAAGGATAACCTTGGAACAAGACAAATTATAGGTGCATAAAAGAACAGCCTATAGGTCCATTAAAACCTTTATGTAACTTTTTGTATGCCCAACTCCAGAAAGCCACGAATATTGAGTATTAGTTGTCTATACCTAGGAGGCTTACTCTCTTAACAAAAGGTTCTTTTTCCTCCTTTTCTTCTGCATTTTTGTCCCAATGCCAGTCCTGAACAGAGGTTTTCAGAACATATAAAGGATGAGAAGAACGCAGAATTTCAACAGAGGTTCATTCTCAAGAGAGATGACGCCAGTATGGACCGAGATGATAACCAGGTGAAAAATGAAAAAGGGTGGACTTATAGAGAGCGATTGCAATAAGAGAAACTGGGAGGGGGGAAGGATGCTTGTGGGACAGAAAAAACTCAAACTCTTCGTTTGGAAAAATCTATATTGAGCTAGACTGAGTTGGCTTAATGTTGAGGACCAGTTACACTTGTTGAGCTGAATTGCCCCTTTCTGAGCCCCAGAGAGACATGGTGCTGAGGTTTGCTGGGTTTTCTCATTTGCCCTAGAACTCTCTCTGGCTTTGCCACTGACTTCTAACTCCAAGTCACTGTGGGACAAAGCAAGGTCCCTACCTGCTTCAGCTTTGATCCAGCTGATGATTTTATACTGTTTTTTGGGTTGTTTTTTTTTTCCTTTAATGGTTAAGGATTTTTTGGGAGTCACCAAAAACTATTTTATTCCACTTCCACTCTTAACCTAGCTCAGGACTAGCCTTGAACTGGCAAAGATGTAATCTAATTTATCCACTTATAAAGGTGTTTCTAACTCCTTCCTGAAAACTCCTTACTCTTTTCCCAACTTGTTCCACCAAGGTGAGTGAGTTCATTTGATTTTGATGCTGAAAATGTCAGGAAGTCCCCTATGTGATTCACTCTGTGGGATAAGATCTGCCCATCCCTTCAGGCATCGGCCTGACAATCTCCTAACCCTTTAGCTAGCAGGTTGGGGTAGTTTTCCTACCTAAAAAGAACGTTTTGAACCAACCTGCTTTTGCTTTGGCCTCCAAATGGGTTTAGATTGAGAATAGAATAAAAATTTTAAAGAATGTGATTGGGTAGAGCCAATGTGATTCTTGCTAATTAATGATAATCATGATACTTTACCTCTGGAATCAAATTAGCTCACAGATACTGTCTGGTCTTGAGATCAAGACCTTTCCTGCTGCTTGCTACTTGCGTATTTGAGAGTCCTTTGAGAAAAGTGCCATAGTTCATATGGACAAACGCACTGGGTCTGATTGAAAACAAAGGAACATAACAAAATTGTGAAAACCAAGAAAGAGCCTTTCCATCCTGATGCCCTTCTCTCCATTTACCCAAAACCCCTTTTCTGTGGATCAGGAGTTATTTAGGCCTATAGAGACACATTGTCAAGGAGTGAACTCTGCCCCTTTGGTGACCGTGTCATCTCTCAGCTTTAGGCTTGATGCATACTAGGGTAGGCTCTGTGTACTTTCTGTCTGTGGTGTTAATAATAAGCATAGTCATTGCAACTTTTGCATGTCTTTCCCTCAACCAGGCTCTGTTCTAAACGTATCACCTGTATGATCTCTTTTGGTCCTTTCCACAACCCAACATAGACAGGAGTTATTTACCTTACTTTACATATCAGACAATTGAGGCTAAAATATATGAATTGTATGCTTGAAGTCAGACTGCTGTGAGCCAAAGCTGAGCTTCTGCCCCACCTCAAAGCTCCTTGATGACCTTTCAGTTCTGCCACTGGTGTACCAGTACTAACAAGGAGGGTATAGCTCCTCAAAGTCCTGTGTCATCTTGGAATGAGACATTTAGTAAAATTTGGGTTCTCAAGTGAAATTTAGGTACTTCAGGCTGGTGAGAACGAAATCGAGTCACCATTGATACTTTCAAAGTTTTGGCTGTCTCCAAAGACTGGAAATCAAGGAAGTCAGCTGAGAGCAGCACTCACCTTCAGATTGCCTCATCTGAAGCTCTCACAGCCCCCGGAGTTAAGACTAGACTCTTTTATGAGCTGGTGACATTCATTCGTGTCATCTCTCTCAGAAGCTCCTTGCCTGCGAGAACAGTGGGGGAAGGGCACTCTGCAGCACCATGTCCAGGACAGTGGCCACGATCCGTGGGCCCAGAGAGGAAAGGAGAGCAAAGGAGACGTAGCTCGTAGGCTAGCCAGAAGCAGAGCACTGATCAGTCCAGCCAGCCCTTGTAGTCACCACACTATATTTCTGAGACTGTAAGACTCTCTCCTCCTTTCCTTCTGTCTCTCCCTTCCCTCCACTGCACTTTATTTGTCTGTTCCTTTCTTTGTTTATCCTTCTTTTGGTTCTGATCTCCATTTTCCCCCCTCTTTTTGTTACTCTGTTCTTTCTTCGTCTCTATTTCTGTGTCCTTCCCACCAGTGGCAAAGCTAAGATGAGGGGGGAAAATGCTTAGACTTTTGAGTTTAGCTTCGCCCTTGGATTTTCATTTCCAAGGCTCTCTTTGCTGAGCTGTGTGTGACTTGGCTCTTCGGGCCACGGCATTAGCAACTAAAGAAGGCAGACGATCGAGTGCAAGGTCTATGGACCTCCTCCTCCTCCTCCACAGCCAGCTCTGCTAAGCACCTAACTGGTCCTTCTCCCTCTCGGGCTTCCTTCTAGCCTTTGCTCTCCCGCAAAAGACATGTTGATTTTTCCAGGCTATTGTCTTGATCCTTACTGGAGAGCACCTGATTACAACAAGAAAGCAACTCAGTCCTTGTAAATAGATATTCTGGGGGGTGGGGTGATGGACAGTCCCAGCCATCCAGAAAACCTGATCTCCCAAACTGCATGGTCAGATGTACCCAGTAAAACCTGTCCAGGACTGGAAATTTTATTTCTTTTCTTCTTCTTTTTTTCCCCCCTCCCCCATTTTTTTTGGATGGCAACTATAAACTCTCCCGGTTTCTCTTCCTTGCTGGTGTGCAGTGAGCTTGCAGTACGAGGAGAACTTAACTAGCTTAATTCTGCTCATCGATCTAGATCAGAGTTCCATTGCAGGATGGAAGGAGGAGCAAGTCAATAGAAGAGAGAGAGGAGGAATATCAAAGGGTCCGAGAGAGAATATTTGCCCGAGAGGTAAGTGTAGCTTCTGGGAGTTGTCAGCTCATAGCTTTTAGCTCTTAAATCTTTGGAACTGTGAATGGAATGAACCCTCCGTAAATGTTGTTGGTTTTTTTGTCTTGTTTTGATTAACCAACATCAGCCAGCTCTCGTTTTAGTCTCTAAAATTCAAAGTAACTTATTGGGAAGCTACAGATTTTTAACTTGTGCATTCTGCTGTACAGCGTACAAAGGGACCAAAAACTTGGAGTGGCTGAATTTGGTAGGTATGACTAGACTAAATATAGAAATGGTTTTGGCAGGATGTACGGAAGGGCCCTGGATCTTGCCTGCCAAAACCTCTTCCCGCTTACCCTCTTTCACTCCCACTGTCTGTTTTAGGCATCTTTGTCCACACAGCCTAAACACTCATCTTATCTAGCCAGCTACCTATCTAGGAGATTTGGAGAAATTTTAGTGCACAGGTCTGATATCATCTTCTGTGAGCCCCACAGCCCATCGAGGGTACCACTGTCGCCTCCAGCCCCGCCCTGAGCAGGAAGTCTCTTTCTTCCTATGTTTCCTCCTTTGCTTCTTTATTTAGGACAGGAGAGGTGCCATGAGCCCAAAGGCAACTTGAATCACTTTAGGCAACTTTAGTCTTAGGAATTTTGACCAAATCAAACATGCCTGGTATTCCTGTATCTGGTTGCCTTTGCCTTCCAGGCTAAAGGTTACAGGATAGCAGAAATTCAAGAAAAGGTGTGGCTTGGTAAGAGGTGACTGAATCTCCAGAAAGTGTGGGTTCAGGAGAGCAGCCCCATCACACAGATTGGCAACAGAAGAAGAAAGACCAACCTCCCTTTGTTTTCTTTAGAGGGCCAGTTCTAGTCAATATACTTGGATGGACACAACTCTCCTCCCATTCCCCACTTTCCTCGCCCTCATCAAAACCAAAGCAAATAAACAAATACCTTTTTATCCTCACCTCGCTCAGAAAACTGTTATCTCCAACTCGACAATTTGAACATATTCCATTGACTCAAGAGACCCAAGTGTCTCCAGGAATCCTCGGTGGAGACAACTACACAGCAAATCGAATGTACTAGATTCCAAGGAGAGGAGTCTTCTTACCCTCTGTTAATGTACGTTTGCATCTGAGTCAGAAAAAGTTGTTCTTCCAAATTAGCCAACCAATGTAGCTTTTTCTCTACCTGCAAATCACCTGGGTGGAATGAGAGGAGAGATGTCATTTGTACACAGTGTCAGTGATGACACTAACCTTTGGACAAAACAAGTGGATGGAAAAGCTTTATCAACACTTAGATAGTACTTACTGTCTTTCAGGTGTGAGGAGGCCTGGTGGCGGGCATGGTGGTTACACAGTGGGCTGCTAACCACAAGGCCAGCAGCTTCAAACTACCAGCTGCTCCTCGGGAGAAAGACAAGACTTTCTACTCCCGTAAAAAGTTACCCAGTCTTAGTCTTCTAGGGTTGCTGTGAGTCAGAATCGACTTGAGGGCAGTGCGTTGAATTTGAGGTCTTTGAAGCATGTTTAAGCACTTTATGTAGGTCGCTCATTTAATCCTTACACCGGGTTTCATTATTTCCCCTGGGTTATAAATGAGTAAGCACCTAAGGACACACCTAAGGTTAGCAGAAGACCTAGCATTTCAGGCCGTCTACCTCTAGAATTCCTGCTCTTAGCCCCTACACTAACCAAACCACCCTCTCTAACTTTCTCTGCTCTGGGATCTTTCAATTAAATGCCGGTGGCATCATAGCCCAGCTGACTACCTGCTTCACCTGCACGTGGAAATGCCAGCCGTTAGCAGAGCCACAGATGTTCTGAGAGCAAAGACAGCTTGAAATAGACTATTGAGACTGGTTCTCAACTGACATCCCTAACAAAGGCAAAGTATTTCTTCTGACCTTTTTTCCTCCTGATACCTAGTCTTATCAAGCCTCTCCTGACATGTGTATTCTTTGTTAAGTCTTTGTAGATTTTTCACCTTCATTGCAGCACTTCCTGACTCTTGTCATAGTAGATGTATCAGAAACTTCAGAAGGTTTAGACAAGGAGAATGGCCAAAGCCCACTGTGCTTCAAAGATGCCTACAAGGGGAGGCTGGCCAGCCAAAGGGAGCAGATTAAGGGTGGAACTGCCGTTTCTGGGGGGCGGGGAGAGGAGCAGGAAGCAGGCCCAAAAGAAGGAGAAGTGGAATGAAGGGTGTTTGGATGGAAACGCTGCTGCTGCTGCTGCAGCCTCCTGGCGCCTGAGCCATGTGTTGGGACAGCTCGCATGGCGCCCCTGTGCTCAGCAGCTGGACACTCCACCTTGATGCTCACTTCACTCAGCTCAGTGACTTTGTCAGGAAATGATTCCCAAAGAGAATGTTTCCGACTCTGAATGCTCCCATTTTTCTTAGGCATCTACCCATTTCCTACCCTCCTTGGGTCTCAGGTGTGAAAGTCTTTCATTTTGGCTAGTGCAGAGCACAGAAGTCATGGAAACGGATTTTCCCAAACAAACAACTCTGTTCCTTTCTCTTGCGTCCTTCCCTTTGAAGACAGTCCTTAGGACCAAGCACACCAGTTGTATTGTTCAGTTAATCATTAATGAGAATAAATGTAACACTGCAAGGGAAGTAATAGGTTAATGCTTTGCTTCTCCCCCTTTCCATACTCCTTCCTACCTTTATCACCCTCTCTTTTTGAACACTGGGTGGAAAGGCTAAAACGTTGAATGCTCTTTTCCATTAAAGATTGGGTGTGTGGGTGTGGGTCATCCTGTCCCTTCCTGCTCCCTCCCTCCCTATTGGTGGGTGAGCTCTGGTTTAAGGACCTTGGGTTTTCATAGCATCGTGGACACCCTTTTTGGTTATGCCATGCTGTTTTCTTATAAGTTATTTTCCGTTTTCTCCCCCTCACCTAGACTGGCCAGAACGGATATCTAAATGACATCAGGTTAGTACCACTTAGCATGTTCCCTGCTTTTCATTGAGCTTTTTTGTCAGTGAGGTTAATATAATCCTGTAATGATGCTTTTCTTTGATGTTAACCAACAGACTCTCCAAAGAAGCCTTTTCTTCTAGTTCTCACAAGAGAAGGCAGATTTTTAGGTACCTCTGTGTGATCTCTATCTCCTCTCTTTTTTTTTTCTTTAAGTTTGTTTTGCTATAATCTTTTCAGCGGAGTAAGTTTGCTCCATGCATGGCTGCTTGTGAAATAATTCAACTAGTGGTTTTTGCAACATTGTATTTTTTCCCCATTTAAAAAAAAATTGGCTCTTTCTCAATGACTTTCTTGATTCCATTTTGAGCCCTACATAAAGTTGTGAAGGGGATCCGATAGCTGTGTCTGGGATAGGTCCTGCTCCCGCCTAGAAATTTGGTGGAGCTGGGCACATTTTTAAAAATATATAAATCATTTTATTGGGGGTGGGGGGAGCTGGGCAATTTTTAAAAACTTGATCATATATTTATATTAAGATCAAAGAGTTAAGTGTCTTCTAGTTGCCTTTTCTAAATGTGTGAAGAGATGAGGGAAGTTTCTTTTTGACCCAACATAGTGTTTTATGCCTTTAAGAAATAATAGCATGTGTGCGCGCGCGCACACACACACACACACACACCTCTCTATCACTCTCTATGGATAGTTTTGTTTTTGAGATAGTTTATAGGCAAGATGACCCTAGAAACTACAAATGACCTTTCTGTTTTAGAATAGGCTTAAAGCATATTCTTTATTTTAAAGCATATTCTTTATATGATTATTCATAAGTACTTGCTCTTGGTGCTGGTGAAAACTTGTTTTTACTTCCCCAGGCCTCATATTCTCCACTTTCTTTCTTTTTTTTTCTACTTTCTAATTAATCTTGAAACTCTTCCTTGAATTCTCTTAATCCCACCCCAGCGGATTAAATAGGGCATGGATGAGGGAAGCACTGTTTTAGGGCCCTGTCCAGATGCTAAAAGTCCAAGTGGTGTGGTGGGTTATGTGTTACATTGTTAACTATGAGGTCAGTAGTTAGAATCCAGCAGCTGCTCTGCAGGAGAAAGATTTGGCTTTCCACTCTGGTAAACAATTACATTTTTGGAAACCCACCAGGGCAGTTCTGCCCTTTCCTATAGGGTCATTAGTAGTTGGGATCAACTTGATGACAGTTAAGAGTGAGTCAGTCTTAAATGATGAATTAAAAAAAAAAAGTGAGTGAGTGAGTCTTGATGTCAACTCACTTTAAATATATTCTTTCCAGTGTTACTGTCCCAGTGGAAGACCTATAAAGTACAGAGAACTTGCTTGTTTAACTACAATTCAAGTGTCCCCCTTTCCAAAGGGTTTCTTGTTCACTCCTGAGCTAGAAAAGGGCTGACCGATTCAGATGAGTTAAACATTTCATTCTCAGTCTTTTCATTGTCCTTTCCAAAGGTGGGAGCAAGGTGTTCTACTCCCATAAAGACGTGCAGTCTTGGAGGAAACTTGCGGGGGCAGTTCTGCTCTGCCCTATAGAGCCACTATGAGTTGGAATCGACTCAAAGACAGTGAGTTTCAGGTTGGCTTTTGGTTTGCCAAAAAAAAAAAAAAAAGATAGACCATGTGGAACAAGGGATTTGGGGGGTAGGGGATTATTTTTCTCTTCCCCGTATCTCTGAACAACCCCCCTCCCCACCCAGACCATCCTGTACTGAGGCCCATCTGAAAACCCCAAGCAGAGAGGGACTCCATGGTGGTAAGGGATAGAGCCATCCACTTTTTAAAAAAAATTACTTTTGCTCTATAGTCTGTACTTTGGGACCACGGATCATTCCAAAATGCCTTTAATAGTAGGAATTTTAAAGCTTTCTTGTGGACTCTTTGTGTGACTTAATACACAGAACATCAGCAACTCCCTGAGTATACCTTATCTGATTCTGCATTTCACCTCCTGGTTTGGTAGCTGGTTTACCTCTAAGAAAACAAAAGTGGGAGGATTAAGTGGCTAGCCCAAGGTTCCATGGCTGTTAGTGGCAAAACCGCTACTTCAATGTTCATTTCACTGTACCGCTCCAGCTCTTGGAACATCACCCTTTCCTCTCTGAGTTGAAGCTATCTGGAGCCCTAATTCACACTCACTGCTAAGAATGATGTGTTTGTTAGTGCCATAGAGAATCAAACTACATCAGCTGCGCAGATAATAGCTTTAAGGATCCAGTGAGCAGATGCAGCCCTCTCTTCCCCATCCCTCTTTGTAAGCTCTCGTCTTTTATACCGAGCATTGATTCAAAATCTAGGTCATCTACAGTGCAAATTCACGGATACTTAAGGGAGTTGCTTCTTTCCCCACTTGGGTACTGGATGGGGAATTTGGATCATTAGAGATGGATCTTCTCTAACTACTTTATATCTTTGTTTCCAAATCTGTGCTTATGAAACTAGCACACAAAATAAAATTATCCAGATAGATGGTAACTATGGGAACTTCCCAGTAGTTTGTAAGATTCTACCCATAGAAATGAGCCACAGTGAGACTTCCTGATGGGTATTACCACTTCTTCCAGAGACCTCTCACTAGATGCAAGCAACCAGACTTTTCACCAGCACTAAACTGATGTGCTAAAACAGAGTCAGCTCTCCTTTTCCAGGAGTATGACATGTAAAAGGGTGCTCTTGACTCTTGATCACCAACACACACACACACAGTCTGATTTGGTGCCCAGAAGTGAGTAGCTTTTCCTAGCTGCCTTATTTGTAATGAAGTGGAAACAAATGACTAGCGATTGGGCTTAGTTTTGGAGAAGGAAAACTGATCCTAGCCAACACTTGCCCCAGATTCTCTAACCCTCATGAGAGTGGTATGCTAGGTCAGGTTCGTCAAAAGACCATCAGACAGTATAGTCCATCATTTGAGCATTTGGCTGTCACCATCTTGGGGACAATGGATGATGGGTAAAGAAGTGTTGTCACTTTGGCCCAGAGTTTTCCATTTAAAGTTGCCTCATTCACTGTCTATCTCAGCTAGAAAGAGAGTCAATGGCAGGATTGCCCTGACAGAGCAAGAGTGGTGTAGGTGGAAAGGATCACTAGGGCTTTTGTTGCAGAACTTAAGTTCTAATGTCCTAAATTCAAGGCAGCTTCATCCACTGCCACTAGTATATTTCTTTCCCCTCACAAACACAATTATTTATTGAATCCTGTCAGTAGACTTGCCTCCATGGAGGCAAAAAGCTATTGGCTCTCATTTCGGGTCCAGTTCTATTTCTGGAGATTCCCTGATTTACGATTCTTTATTGTTTCCCATTCCAGTTTTGATATTCCTAAGAGAAAGGGGAAAGTTTTGGGGGACACAAGGATGTTTTCTGGACCTCAGGTCCAGCTATGTGGAAAGAAGCTTTGAGGCTATATGTAAATGTACTTGTGTTTGCCTGGAAGAACTGGCATATTCCTAACCAGCTGTGCAAGTGTATTCTCAGCTTATCATGGCTGGCTTGGCTAAAAGCTGGCACAGTTAACTATAGCACATACTTAGCCCAGTTTCTCTACAATTCCTTTTGAATAAATGGGACAGTACCTTATTTTTCTAGACTAGCTCAGAGCCTAGTGTTTTTGGAGCTAAGGGAATTGGGCTGAAGCTTCCTGATGGCTTTTGATGGAATGGTACTGCAAGAAGGGGGAAGCCCAAGTTACTATTATTTTTGCTTAATTGTTTCTAAGTATTCATACCAAACCCTTGTGGTTGCCATGTGATTTCCTTTGGTCCTTGGAGGAGAGTGGGAGTCGGATTCCTGGATCTTGGTTCCTTATTGATTGAGAAACTTTAAGACGGTTTTCAGGTCACCTCAGGCTCTCTTGAGGAGTATAGCTGTTCATAATCACAGGCAGTGATTATAAAATCAAGCAAGCTGATGTTTCCAAGATAAGACAGAGAGGAAAGAACCCTTTTCTCAAAAGCTTCATGCGCTTGCCTGGGGCAGTAGAGGTATAATAATATCATATGGGGGCAGCCATTCCATCCTGAGTCCCAAGGACTTTTTTTGCTTTTTCTTTGCTGAGGACTTCAGTCCTTAGAGCACATAGAAACCATTGTCCCCAGATACAGATGTGAAATGTGACAAAACAAGTTGGGTCAGTTCCCAGCTCTCGGGCTGAGTTTTCCCAGGTGCTCCTTGCAGCCACTTACTCCTCTTCCCACAAGCAGCGCCTCTGCTGACTTAGACATGAGTTCCGAGGCAGGCCTGTTCTGTGTTTTACCCATGTCCTGATTACCTCTGCCTTCTAGCAAGACTATCTTCTGGGAGTCCTTTCATTGGAAGAACTCCCAGAAGGATCTGGTACCCCTCTGCTCTCCACTGTTTCCTGCATGTGTGGGATCCTGCAGGGGCTGGGGAAGAGACCATAGCCAATCTCAGCATCATGTGTGTGGCTTCCGTCCACCTCTGGTCTGGTGTGTGGAGTTAGTTGCCAGTGCACTGTCTTCCAGATTTGCCTCTGTGCTCTTTGTGGCTGTACTGGATCTCGTTCTGTCTGCTCCCATCAAGTCTCAGTTGGCCAGCCAACTAACAAGAAGTCAGTGTCCATCTTCCCCCCCTTCCCTTCTTTGTTATTCAAAGAATAGAAATGAACTCTCTCCTAGTCCTTCTGCCGAAGTGGGGGGTGGGGGGGGCTCTGACCATTGTGGTCTCTGCAGGGGGAACCGAGAGGGGCTGAGCCATACCTCAAGCAGCCGCCAGAGCAGCACAGACAGCGAACTCAAATCCCTGGAGCCCCGACCCTGGAGCAGCACAGACTCAGATGGCTCTGTCCGGAGCATGCGGCCACCTGTCACCAAAGCCAGCAGCTTCAGTGGAATCTCCATCCTCACTCGCGGCGACAGCATCGGGAGTAGTAAAGGTGGCAGTGCAGGAAGGCTCTCCAGGCCAGGTACAGCCTCTCTCCTTGCATGCCCTGCCCTGTCTCTTCCTTCAAGCTTGTCTTCTGAGAAGCATCACTTGTAACTAACAGAACACTTGTCCCAATGCCCAACACAGCCCGCAACTCGGTGAGATGTTTGGTGTCATAGGGCCATCATCCTTGTGTGTTTTCTCTCTAATTTCCTTTCAAGCCTCCTCTCCTGATTCAAAAACAGCCAATTGAAACGAGATTATTTTGACTCGAGGCCCAGGTCCAGATTATGTACAAAGATGAAAGGGATAGCACTTTCATTTGGTGGCCTGGGAGATCACAAGGTGTGACTTTGGAACAGAACTCCAAAATCAGTCTGACTGCCATCGAGTCAGTGCTGACTCATAGCGACCACCTGTGGGTTTCTTAGAATAACTGTTCACGGGAGTAGAAAGCCCAGTTTTTCTCCCATGGAGCTACTGGTGGTTTCAAACCGCCAACGGGGGAGGGGGGGGTGCGGAGCACGCAACAATAGTGTCTGGTGCATACTTAGGTCCATATATAAGCTGAGGAGCCGTGGGCTGGTATATGGGAGTACATCCATAAGCATATATATATATAGGCTTGGCAGAGGCGATTTCTACATATGTCTGTGCTGCTAATGTATCCAGTATATAGAACGCATGCAGGGTGAAGTTATGCAGATGTCTTAACAATGACCAAATACCTTAAGGGATTGGGGACCTGGGCTTGAGGGCTTTAGGACCTTAGTCTCGAGGGACATCCAGGTCAGTTGACACAACAGTGCATGAAGACGCTGTGCTACATCCTACTTTGAGGAGTAGCGACGGAGGTCTTAAAAGCTTGTGAGCAATGATCTAAGATACAACTGTTGGTCCCTTTCCATCTGGAGTAGGGAAGACCAAAGACTCAAGGAAACAAATAGTCTGAAGGAATAAGAGACCACATGAACCTCAGCCTCCACTAGCCTGAGACCACAAGGTCACTACATTGTGTCCAGCCACCACTAACTGCTGTGCTCAAGATCATAATGAAAGAACCTGAGGAGAGTGGAGAAAATTCTACAACAAACTCATAATCTTAAAAAGAACAGACTTACTGGTCTGACAGAGACCAGTGAAATACCTCCCCTTTCCCTCCCACCCGTACCCCCCAGACTACGGCCCTTAGACACCCTTGCAGCCTGGAACTGAACCCACTCCCAGGGATTACTTTTTGGCCCAACGCTGCACAGACCTATTGAATGAACAGGCACACCCGAAACATGTGCTCCTCAGAGCAGTCCAGCACAGGAGACTGAATGGCCACCTGTAATGTTCTGAAGGCCAGAAGGTGGAGGAAAGAATGGGGAGTGGGAATGGGGAGCCCAGGGAGAAAGTGAGACGAGTAGGGGGACATTGAGAGGCTGGTAACTCTTGTCACAATGCAAGATGTGTGTAAATTGTTGACTGGGAAATGAATGTGCCCTGTCAGTTTTGCCCACACCACAACACAATGTCTTGTAACAAAAGAAAAAGGGTAAGAGATGTGCCTGTGTCCATTCCCCTGTACCCAGACACTTGTATATTCCACGTGCAAGGCCTTCAGCTCACCATGCCCCAGGGGCTTGCGTTTACCCATCCTTCTGCCTCTCAAAGTCTAAAAATGGCTAAGAGTCTTGTAGACATGAGTGGTGGTGAAGATGTCACCTCTGACTGCCAGCTCTCTGCTGCCCTGCTCTGGTACCTCGTTGCTCATCCCACTGTCTCTCTTTGTTTACTCAGTTGTCACACTAACCCCCAGGCTGGTTTCCTTGCTCCGATATCAGCCTTTTCCAGAGCCAGTCTACCCTCTAAAATAGATCGAATCGCTTCAGTCCTCTCTTTGAGATTGCAGAATTCAAACTTCAAATTTGGAAATACTGAATTTGTGTTTTGCCATTGTCTGTATAATAAAAGACCGAACACGCTAGCATAGCCTATCCTCACTTCCTAACTCTACTTTGCCTCCTCCGGCCGTCTCATTTCCAGACACTGCTCTAGAATGAACTCTGTCTGCCTTCAGCCTGACAACCTTCTGTTGTATCGTCTCAGCCCAGCTCTTCTCCTTGTCCTGTTGAAATCTTTCCTGACCCTTTCAGGAGCTCATTCTTTCCTCATCTTTGCTTTCCCCAAATGTCGGCCATGTCACTGATGTAGCCTCTATCAGATTGTAATAGCTGTGTGGCTGTCCATCTCCAGCGGAAGATTCCGTGCTTTTCGGGGCCAACACTTGTATTCCCTTGGCAATGCCTGAAGCATAGCAGAGAGTCAGTTGAAGTATGCTATGTGAACACATACATGCCTTGGGAAGTCTGGAAATTAGAAAAAATGGGATGGAGGTCATGTGTGTGTATGCATGCACTTGGAGAGGCAAGGTTGCCTCCTTAACAGCTTTTATATGATGACGCAAATAGAGAAGAAACGGGGAAAAAAAAAAAAGAAGAAACCAAAGAGAATATAGGCAGGTCCCTGAAGCGACCAGGAGTCTGGACCTTCCCAGGAAGTAAGCATTCATATTTTAGCTTTCTAATTATGATGGACAGATTCGAGGCACTTCAGAGGAGACACCTTAGCAGCCTGACATTTTGTTGGTTCAGTTCCAAAACCAAACTTGACAGTCCCGTTGGTTCCCGCCCCCAGGGAGCAAGGATTGGCTGGGGTGAGGTTATCCCCACCCATGCTCATCCAGAGACAGTGGGGGAATGGGCAGGGAAAGAGGAGAGCCCCGCAGCTAGGCCCTCTGCAGCTGCTGTGTTCACTGCCTATGCTCACAGCTCTTGGTGGGTTTTCTCTCTGCCATAGGTATGGCGCTCGGTGCCCCAGAAGTGTGCAACCAGGTCACCTCCTCCCAGTCTATCCGGGGCCTTCTCCCCTGTGCTGCCCACCCGCAGCAGCCGCTTCCTGCCCTTCCACCCACGCCGCAGCAACAACCGCCCTTGAATAATCACATGCTCTCACAGGTGAGTCACTACTAGGTGTTGGAGCCCCTCCACGTTGAGTTAAGGAAGGAAGCTCTGGCAGTACAGTCATGTCTCTTATGCCGGGGGTAGCAGGAAGGACTGGGTTTGGAGACATGCCACTCTCCCTCATCTATTAGTAGTGAGGGAAGAAGAACAAGGGCAGAGGTTTGGCCTAAGAATCCAGAAGAATCAGCATGAGAGTTCTTTGCCTTGTATTTCTTCGTCTTCCTCCTCAGAAATGTCAGTGGGATCTTTGGCTTGTCTCCCCGTATACTCTGTGTAGTTAACCAGGGGATTTTCCTGTATCCATATACATAAGGAGCCCCAGTGGCATTTTCGGGTAAATGTTGTGCTGCTAGCCAGAAGGTTGGCAGTTCAAACCCATCAGTCACTCTAAGAAAAAAATGAGACTGTCTGGTCCCACAAAGCCTTGCAGCCTCAGAAACCCTCTCATCTAGGGTCACTGTGAGTCAGAATCAGCTGTATGGCAGCGGTTAGGTTTGGGGTCCATATGTGGAACTTGAAATGATCACAGCTCCTGGCACAGTCTGATGAATGTGTTTGTGTCTGATGGCTCACAGCACAAGTCTGTGTGCGACCGTTTCCAGGGAAAGGGCGTAACACCTAAGACCTATGCCACAGGGTGCAGAGACCCCAGAGGTCATTCCGAACTTATGTTCTATATATTGAAGGATTGAGCAAATGAATAAATACTTTGAGGATGTTGGGAACATTTCTCACTGTCAAAGAAGTGAAATATAAATATGGAATGGGGGCAGGCTCACAAGAATCTTGTATCATTGGCTAACATTGGATATAGTATGGATTTATGGTTTTTAGTATATAGAGATAGAGATGTGTGTTATAATACAGCTTTTTGTTTTCCTTAAAAGGCTGTGTCTTTCTCCTCTTGGGCTGATAGATTGGCACCAACTAGAATTTGAATGAAGTTGTGTTTCTTTGGAGCTCATGCAAGTCATCAGCATAAGAATCAGGTCCTGTTTGGAACTGGACCTCAATGTTCTCAACTGAATAGTCACCTGAGTTCTCTGAGCAGAGCTTGGCTGGGGTCTTCACTTGTACTCCTTGTCCACAAACAGAGGTCCCTGGCCTTGTCCAGTAAGGTTGTATGTAGGAGAAGTCAGGCAGCTAGTGTGTCGAGGCAGCCTCTTTCCTGCTGCAGGTTAACTTTGAGCCTCCTTTCCCAGGGCCCTCTTTTCCCTGCACAGGCAATACAGCTTTTTCCTGGGTACAAGAAGCAAGTCCCCCAATCCTTAGGAACTGGACAGTAGACTGGAAAGATCCCATTATGGGCCAGCAGAGGAAATCCTGCTGTGTAGCTTAACTATGACACACATACATACAGATTGTTCCTGAACTTCATCTTTGTCCGTAAAGCTTTCTGGATTCTCTGTTTGTCATATACCACCCACCCTATTAGGTCTTGTTCGTGTGTGTGTGTGTGTGTGTGTGTGTGTGTGTGTGTGTGTGTTTCTCTGGTCTTGAGTCAAACCTCTAAATGGGTACAGACCCCGAGCCTTTCCCTCTGGCCCTCGCCTGCCATGTTTCTTTGTGTGTGTCATATGTCTCGCTTGTCTGTGGTCCCAGGGGTTGCCATTGTTCCTACAATGTGTGTATTTGAATAAAGCCTTGCTCCCTTTTCTCCCCCTTAGTTCTCCATCTGCTTCTACCTTACTTCCATACCTAGAAACAGAAAGCATGAGCAGGAGGAAGGAGGAGATAAGAAGAAGGAGCGAATGTTTGGGACTGGAAATGTTTTAGACAGGCGTACATATGACCAGCCCTGTGCCCCAAGCCTCCAGTCAGATACTGTGCTGGCTGCTAGAATTGTGAGTTTGAGGATCAGTAATCCTTTGGAATAGGAATGATCTCCTTTTGCTGGGTCTGGATAATACAGTCAGGATAATACAGTGGGGACAGGGCAGCATTGTTTGACACAGACATCACTGCATTGTTAGGAACCTGCATTGTCACGCCCTGGAGATGAATTGTGACCACAAATTTCAAACTTGAAACACTTATCCTGGCTAAGCGTTTGGTGGCCTTGAAGCACATGTAGTAGTTGCTGATATTATGTAAATCCCACCTCTACCACCGCTACCCCACTGTATGTAAAGGGGCTTCAGAAAGTTCGTGGGAAAAGTTATGCCATTTCTCGAATGGTACATAGCACACTGCATGAAAGTGAAAGCACACACACTCCCACCACTCTGAGTGTTCTAAAGCTTTTTCCTTCAAAGGGAAACTTTGGAAATGACTTCTAGCGGATAGCTCTGCAGCAAGAGGTCTTTGCACTAGACCTAAGGACAGCCTAGGCTCTTCTTGGAAGAATTTCCTGCCCTATGGCAGTACCATGCGTAAAACTAGGCGACGAGGCTACAGACCAGAGGATGAGTGGCTAGGCTACCTTTTGTCCAATTTGTGTAAAATGGAAGGATCCTGCTCCTGCACCTCTTGTGTCCTCAGGCATCTAAAAACTAACCCACATTTCACCAGTAGGTGGCAGTCACATTCCTCCGGGTCAGCCTCTGACTTCTGTGTGGTTTTTGCTGATTCCCTGAAGTGGGAAACTCTTCAAGGAGAGATTGGAATGGAGAGTGATGGTTTCTACATAAACTATAATTAAAATAGCTCTGAAACACCCCACGTTAACGCTGCACACCCCAGGTCAGTGGAGGCCCAAGAGAGGAGCACTACTCCTTCCCTCATGCTAAAGCCTTGGGAGTAGTCTCCTTTGTGGGGGCTTCTAATTGCAAGACACCTGTGCCTCCTGGACTTTGTCTCCCCGTGACAGCAGCGTCTGCGGCAGGAAAGGATATTGATCCCCTGCTCCAGCACATGTGGCAGATGCTTGAAGTATTTGGTTTGACTTCTTCCTCTGCCTCCTGCCCCTCCTAAGAGAGAGAAGGGGAAAGAATGTGGCAGGGAGAACTGTTTCAATCCCAGCTCCATTAGCTGTGTGAGCCTAACGAGTGGTTTCAGTTCTCAGAGTCCTTTATTTGCATGGTTGTGGCTGAGAATAAACACGGCACAACATACACCAGTTCAACAGTTTCCACACGTGTGACTCTGTGGCCTCGGTTGCTTCTTCCAGCACACTGCTTTTCTCGTCGTTCTTCCCCGTTCACGTCAGCCCAGTGCCCCTGGGGGCCCCTCTGATCTTTTGAGTTACTGCTCTCAGTTTGATCCCATATAGGTAGACACTTTTCACTAGTTAAGCTAAACTCGTGTTTGGTTTTTAAAAAGACTTCAGGGAATATATACTTGGTTTATGATTTAAAAATTATCTCAGGGTAATAGTTTACCTTAAGGAGTTCATGTACCTTCTAGAGCAGCAGTTCTCAACCTATGGGTTGTGACCCCCTTTGGGGGTCGAACGACCCTTTCACAGGGGTCGCCTAAGACCATCGGAAAACACTTATTTCCGATGGTCTTAGGAACTGAGACACCACCGCTCCTCTATCCATCTCCAGGCGGGTCTGCCCACATGTAGATATGCCTACATACGAGTACCCGGCATGAAAACTGTTACCCATGCTTCAAGACAAAATTTCACTTATTTGTAATTAGAAATAAATATTTCACATATTGTTTTCATGATTAATCACTATGATTTAATTATGTTCAATTTGTAACAATGAAAATACATCCTGCATATCAGATATTTACATTATGATTCACAACAGTAGCAAAATTACAGTGATGGAAGTAGCAACTAAAATAATTTTATGGTTGGGGGTCCCCATAACATGAGGAACTGTATTAAAGGGTTGAGGCATTAGGCGGGTTGAGAACCACTGCTCTAGAGCCTTAAAGTGGTGTCCATGAGAATTTGAAATTTGGCTCTGCATAGCTTCCATTTTGATCAGGATTATTCTGTAGAATCTGTTCCAAATGCTCAGTAATGATAGGCACCAGCCAGTTCTGGTCTCATGTCAAAGGAGGCAGTTGTTCATGGCCCAGTTGTCCTCCCCTATTCCTGTCTCTCCCTCTTTGTTGCTCCAGGCAACTGGAGACCAATTGTACCTTGGGTTACTATGAACAAGTCATAACTTTTGAACTGAAAAATGAGCTCCCTCATCTCCTTATAGGAATATTGTAGGCAAAACTGAAACAATGTATATAAAATGTTGCTGGGGGGGGGCGGGGGGCGGGGCTTGCCCTTTCCCACCATCAGAAGGTGTAACTGTTGGTGAGGTGATCCAAATGGCTGGAGCGAAGAGTGGGAAGTAAGTGGGAGAGGGAATAAAGTTTCCCTGTAGTTGGTTTAGCACGCCTCATGAAGAAACCCCCTCCTTGAGGCTAGAGAAGACGCTCACTGCCACGGAGTCAATACAGACTCTCAGCCACCCTACACGACAGGGCAGACCACCCCGTGAGTTCCCAAGACCCTAACTGTTTCCCGGACTAGAAAACCCCGTTCTCCTTTGGAGCTGCTAGTGGTTTTGAATCTCGGACCTTGTGGGTCGCCGCCCAACATAAAGCTACTACACCGCCTGGTCTCTCTAAGGAAAACAACAACCCAGCGGATACATTCCATGTTGAGACTCCTCCCTCCTTCCTTAGTGGGGTTCATAGTGCCCTCCCAGACCCAGAGGGGCTGTTGGCCAGTGGGAGGAAGTGGCCAGAGCCAGGCGTTAACTGGGTATTTTTTTCCTTTCTGCCCTCGGGAAGCTTGATGGTCCTTGTCAATGAGCGCTTCCTCCAGGAGCAGAGGTGGTGTGAAATCGGGATATGGTGTGAGCCTGACTTTGGATGACCCTTCCTACAGAGGCAATATTCCTAGTGCCCATAGAATCCATAGGAATCCCTTTTCAAGGGGTGTTCAAAGAGGGTGCCAAGAGTACTCCTCAGGAATCTTGTGCTCAGGAAGAGTGCTTTGGAAAAAATCTGTTTGGATTCAGATTTGAGCTGCATAGCTGGTCCTGAGCCCCAAGACTGTTTTCAGCAGCCGCAGAGTTCTGAGTGGCTACCAGGGTGGGGTGGGCAGGGCACACTGCGGGTCTTTCCTGATGGAGCAAGGCCATTTGTCAAAGAAATGTGACAGCCACCAGCCCTTCCCAGGAGTGGTCTCCAGCCAGCGCTAGCTCCTGCCTGCCTACAGCCTTGCTATTCATGTAACATTTCTTTTTTGATTAACCTTGTTGTTCCTCCCTCCCCATCTCTGCCCCACCCCCACCCCCCACCTCTTCCTGGACTTCCCTTTCTCTCCCCTTTTTCACATGCCTCTGCTGGTCCACAGCCAGTCCCAGCTCTGCAGCCCTCTCCGCAGCCTGTTCAGTTCTCTCCAAGCTCCTGTCCCCAAGTCCTTCTGCCAGTCTCTCCGCCCCAGCAGTACAACATGGTATAAACTCCAGTCCCCTTTCTGTCCTTGTCCATGTGTGGCCTGTGTCTGTGGGTGTGACTGGGTCCACCTGGGATGGCTTTGCAAGCTTGCTGTGCTCTCTGGGGGGCCACGCTCCTTCTCCTTCTCAAGGGGCCCGCAGGACTGAAGGCAGCTGCCTTCTAAAGGCCTTGTCTCAGCCTGCTAGGCGCCTACATGAAGGACAGGAATGATGGGTTTCCCTGAGTTTCAGAAGAGGGGACACCATGGGGAGCTAGCCTCACCGCGGCTCCTCCTCATTACTGCCACATATGCCCTTCCTCACAGTCGCGCCCTGCACACGTCTAAAGAGCCCAGTTTATTCTGCATAGAATAGCTTTCCATCATTTACTTTTAAAATAGCACAATCGTAGATGTTTCTGGTACCACTAGTAAAAACGTAAAATGTTCCCATTATCTTAGCATGTCATTTTCTAGGAAAAAATACCTCATTCCACTGCATTGTCCCTGCCGTGTAAATTGAAACCACACGTTCTTTTGAAGATCTGACTTACCTGGTGGTTGACAACATCCATCATGGCCAGTAGAGCCTGGTTTTCTATTTTGTGTTAATCACATCTCTCTGGTTTTGTTTTTCTTTAATTTTTAAAATTAGAATCCCCTCCTTTCCTCTCACATCTTTTATCTCTATTCTGAAAAGTCCAGAAGTTTGGACCTCAAAGTAACCCTCACTTCTTCCTTTGTGTCATCTCTTCCTGTCCAATACGGTAGCAACACCGCCGACATGATGATCAGAGGGAAAATTGATTGAAACTTTGGGAAAACATTTTCTTTTGGTTTCTATTAGTTTCCATATCTGCTCTGGCGTGGTGGTAGGTAGGTAGGTATGTAGGAAGGAAGGAAGGTAGGTAAGTGAGAGAGAGAGAGAGAGAGAGAGAGAATGTATGTGTGTATGTATATATTACTGTCCAGAGAGCAGAGGGGGAGGAAGCTAACAAACCCTCAGCTATCACTGTACCAAAGAGAGCAAGAACACCCTCACCTTCTCCGCCTAGGGGAGAGGCTGAGAAAGAAGGCAATTACAGACTGGCCAGTCGCTCGCCCTCCAGCTCGGCCACTCACCCTGGCCTCCTTGCGGAGGTGAGAATTGGAAGTGGTTTCTGATGGGCTGGAGAACGCTAGGCTGGTGTCAGAGCACAGAGGTGGAAATGATCTCGAGAGGATGGGAGGAGATAAGCAGCAGGAGTGGGAACCCAGCAGTTCCCTCCCATCCTGTGTAGTTGGAGCTAGGTAGCCACCTGAACTTCCTTCGGCTCCACGTGTTATTTATTATAAAAGCAAGACTCACAGCATTTTATAGGGAAAAACGGGTCCTTTATATGATTGGGGTCATGAAAAAGACAGGAAATGGAAAAACTCTTAAAAATCTTATTTAACCTGATAGCTAGTCCTGTTTTGCATAGCAGCGGTGTTATTCCCATCTCCCCAGGAGTAGCCCTAATAAAGATCCCAGTCAGGGTGGCATTGTGAGCCTATATGTGGTAGAGAGACTGACTCTGCAGTAGGGCTTCAAACAGCTCTTCAGTGTGCAGTGGACAGCAATTTAAAGCACCACATGACAGGTTTATGACCAAAAGGCACCTCCTGGAGCACAGAGGCAAAACTATCCCCAGTTGGGGTAAGGATGGCTGTAGAGAACATAGTCATTATTGTCTGTCTGCCTGTCTGTGTGTGTTAAGTCCCAAGAGATGAGGCTTGATATGACATGACCTAAGTCTCGCCCTATACCAACAGGCAGATGACCTCAGCAATCCCTTTGGACAAATGAGCCTTAGCCGCCAAGGTTCTACCGAAGCAGCTGACCCATCTTCAGCTCTGTTCCAGCCTCCACTGATATCCCAGCACCCTCAGCAGACTAGCTTCATCATGGCTTCCACGGGACAGCCACTCTCCACTTCCAACTATTCCACCTCTAGCCATGCACCACCTACTCAGCAAGTCCTGCCACCCCAGGGTTACATGCAACCCCCTCAACAGGTGAGCAGCCTGAGCCCCCAATTGAGTGGGTGCAGTATTACTCTTCCTACCTTCCCATAGACCTAGACAAACAGAGGGTACACCTACCCCACCTGGGACTTGAGAGTTGTCATGTTCCAGGGCTGCTTTCTAAAGAAACCAAGTCTTCCCCATTTGTTTTATTTTTAAAATCAGTATTATAGTTTATATAACTCACATGTCATACAATTCAATAGTTCAATTAATTCAAGAATAGTTATACAACCTTTGGCACAATGTTTTAGAACATTTTCTTGGTTCTTGTACGCATCGTTATTAGCTTCCGTTTCCTCCCAACCTCCCCTGCCATACCCCCATCCTTTTCTCTTTTAAACTCGTGTACTAATTCTGCCATCTCAGGCCCACAATCTCTCCATGTGTAGATCTCTGACCATCAGCTCTGATGCATTTAATGGTTTGGAGTGTCGCAACTAAACTTGAGGGAGGGACCCTACATCTCTCTCTTCTTTCACCCTAGATCCAGGTTTCTTACTATTCCCCTGGACAGTATCCTAACTCCAACCAGCAATACCGACCTCTTTCTCACTCGGTGGCCTACAGCCCCCAGCGTGGTCAACAGCTGCCTCAGCCATCCCAGCAGCCTGGTAAGGAAAACATGTGGTCTCAAAGAAGATGGTGGAGACTGGGGAACAAGGATTGTCTTCCTCTTCTAAAAAAAACACAAAAAAATCCAGAGATGGTTGGGTCCAAAAGAGAGACCCAGAATTTCCAAAGGAAAAAAAGATAAAATGGAGGGAAATGGCAGATGAAGATTGTTGAGACCATGTTAACGCCTTTTCTACCTTACCATCCCTAGGTTTACAGCCTATGATGCCTAGCCAGCAACAGGCAACTTACCAAGGCATGATTGGGGTCCAGCAGCCTCAGAATCAGAGCCTGCTCAGCAACCAGAGGAGCACCATGGGAGGCCAAATGCAAGGCCTGGTGGTTCAGTACACTCCACTGCCTTCTTACCAAGTGGGTGCATTTTGAATAGGGGAAGATCACCCAGTCCCAGGGAGACAAAAAGGAAAGCAGCCTCCCTAAATCTTTCAGACTGGCCAATGAAGATCTAAAATATTGTCCACTCTCCCCCTAGAATTTTAAGGTTTTTCCCTCTGAGAGAGAGCCTGGAGAGTCTGAGAAGAATCTTTACGTTATTTGGCCTTTATATATCCATACAAATGCTTAATCCCTGGGAAAGTAGAGTCTACAGGAACCTCAGGCTCCTTCTACGTCAGAGGCCCAAGGGTTGTGTTTGGAGAAGGGCGGAATGGAAACTACTCTGAAAGCATTTCCTTTACACAGATGGGGAGAACCAAGCGGAAGCTGTAGTGATGGCCGAGCTGTTCTTTTTGATGTGCTCAGGAGGAGTAGGAGGTATCATTTCCTTCTTGTCTCTACCAGGTCCCAGTGGCTAATGACTCGCAAAACGTGGTCCAGCAGCCTTTCCAGCAACCCATGCTGGTCCCAGTGAGCCAGTCTGTGCAAGGGGGCCTGCCAGCAGGGGGCGTGCCAGTGTACTACAGCATGATCCCGCCCGCTCAGCAGAACGGTACGAGGTGAGGACTCCCGGAGTGGGCACTGACTGCCTGTCTCTTGTAGACCTAGACCCGCTGCTGCTGTGGCCCAGGGTTTGGTTTGGTTTCTGCTGCCCTGAGAAGGGAAGCAATAAAGATCGGGGCTGGGGTGGGGGGGTGGGGGATCCTAAAGCAGGTAGACCGACCGTGAGAGGCTCATTCTCCTTTCTTCCTCTTTGGTTTCTGTGTAATTAGACCTTGTCAGCAGGAAGTGACTCTGTCTTCACAGACAGAGGTTTTATCATTCCCTCCTCTGTTTTTTCAACTAATGGGACTCCGACTGGGAGAGAGGCAGGTTTGGAGTATCTAGATGTTTGTCTTCCTGTGTGCCTTTGTATCTAGAGTGCATCTCAGATGGTATGTGTTTCCATGTGTTTATTTATGTCTGAGGATAGGTCACAGCTAATAGAATTTTAGAGCGAGAAGGAACCTTAGAAATAAATCTAGTCAACTCCCCTTAGTTTATTTCTTTCTCTTGTTTTCTAAATGAATACATTTCAGCTAGGGATGGTAAGAAGTTTACCCATGTTTTTTAGCATGGTGGGAGCAAAGCTGAAACTAAAACTCAAGTGTGGGTCCGTCTGTGTCTGTGTGTCTGTCTCTCAGTGTATGCATCTTTATGCGCCTGTCTCTGTGTCGCAGCCCAGGGCGGTGGGGTTTCTCTGTCGTTAGGTGGCTGTCAGTCACCATATAGATCTAAAATCACCAAACTCCTTAGCTCTTTTTTACTCATCTTTCTCTGTAGCACTCTAGATCTGTCACTGACACGCTCTTTGTGTTTCATTTGTATTTCCCAGAATTTGTGTGTGTGTGTGTGTGTGTGTGTGTGTGTGCTTGTGCGCGTGTCTGCACATGTGTCTGGTATTTGGGAAGAGCATGTGTCTCTCCGTTCCATCTGTAGCACTGATTAGCAGCTTCCTAATTGAAAGATGATCAAGTACAAATATATATAATTAACTTTGAACTGATGAGTGATTTTAGAAATTGCATGGCAAATTGGTCTGGGAATGGCTTGGAGCTGCCTCAGCTTCCCAGGGGGGAGGCCCAGGAAGCAGCAGCTGTTTGCCAGGAGCTGTGTTCCTCTCTCTACCACTTCCCCACTCCTCTCTTCTCCATCTCCCCAGCCCTTCTGTGGGGTTTCTACAGCCTCCCGGTTCTGAGCAGTACCAGATGCCTCAGTCGCCCTCTCCCTGCAGTCCACCTCAAATGCCACAGCAGTACTCAGGTAAGAGGAGAAAGAATGAAAAGAGGTGGGGGCGGGGGGTGTGTGTGTGTGTGTGTGTGTGTGTGTGTGTGGGTGGGGCCAGGGATATGGAGTCTAGGCCACGGGCAAGAGGAAAATGCCGCAGAAAGAAGGCTGGTTTTCTAGAGCAGGGGAGGACAGACTTCCTGAACCCTGACTGACCCCATCACCCAAACCAAAAGCCAAACTCACTGCCCTCCAGTGGCTGCCAACTCCTAGTGATGCGATGCACGTAACCAGGGCTCCTGACCCCATCACCTGAGAGCAGAGTCACTGGTGTTTTCCAGGGTCTGCAGCTGACCTCGGAAGAAATGGGAGGTGGCTTGCCTCATCCCAGGGAAGCGACACCTGTCTGACTTCCTCATTTCCATAGCTTGACTGACGCCATCATCAGCTTCTGCTGCCTTTGTGCTCAGTCTTCCCAGTGACAGCTCTCCCCTCCCTTGGGGCGATGGAATGGCTTTGCTGAGTCATAGCCGAGGTTGGTGTAGCTGACTGGGTGTGCGTGTGCTCAGGTTTGCTGTGACATCATCATCTTCGCCACACGCACTTGCGCACAGAGGACATTTCAGCAGGGAGACTGACTTGCCTGAGGTCGCAGCCCTGGCACTTTCTTCACGTGGTCTTTCGACTTTCTGCATTCCATACCACATCCTCAGTACTGCATCCTCCACTTGCTTCTGTGCTCTCTGCTTTTCCCTCAGATTAAACAGTGTAAAGGCTCGCTTCGGAGTGGCCAGCCACCCCTAGTAAATAGGTCTGTGCCATGTAGCCCCTGACTTCCTGCTTTTGCCGTGAACTCCCTACCAGACCAGGTGCCGCTGCCCCTGTTCATGCCCCATCCAGCCCATCCTGATAGAGCACCCACCACACTGCAGCTGAAGCCTCTCGGGGGTTCTGGTCAGGTGGAGGGGAGGAAGCCTTCATTTAGCCGCCAACCATCCCAAGCCACTCTTCTTGAAAGGATGTCAGACTGCCCTCTTCTGGTGAGAGGGAGGTATTTTGCCAGTTCTTCCCATTTGGAAACAGATTTTTCCATTTAAAGCAGTGGTTCTCAGGGGAATAGAAATACCACAAGGGTAGGGGGAAGTGGGGCAGAGGTGGGGAGGGAGAGGGGCATGGACGCAATGAATGGCACATAGCCACACACACCCAGTCAGGGGGAAGAACAACAGAAACCAGAAGGAAGGGAGACTGGGTGGGAGTGAGATTTGAAGATAATTAACAATCTACAATCTATCAGGGGGTCACGAGGGTTGGGGAGGGGGTGGTGAGGAGGGAGGGATAAAAGGAGGAGCTGATCCTAAGGGCTCAATGAAAAGTAAATGTCTAGAAAAGAACGATGGAATATATGTACGAATATGTCAGATACAATTGATGTATGGTTTGTAACAAGAGTTGTAAGAGCCCCCAATAAAATGATTAAAAAATAATAATAAAGCAGCAGTTCTCAGCCTGTGGGTCAAGACCCCTTTGGGAGTCGAACAACCCTTTCACAGGGGTAGCCCAATTCATAACAGTAGCAAAATGACAGTTATGAAGTGGCAATGAAAATAATTTTATGGTTGGCAGTCACCACAACATGAGGAACTGTATTAAAGGGTCGCGGCATTAGGAAGGTTGAGAACCACTGATTTAAAGTTTTCTGCACCTTAAAGTTGTTGGGTGCTGTGGAGGGAATTCCAAAATTAATCTTGTTCACATGACATGATCAGTTCTTACCTTCAAGGAGCAATGGCCACTGTCTTCCTCAGGCCCAATGAGGCTCCTTCCCAGGCTGAGAGCGGTTCCGTTCAGCAGCCCTAACTGAGTGTATGATTGGTCTGGCCAGCTCTTTCTGCTGGTGTCCGCCAGGGGCAGTTGGTCTAGAAATTCCCAATGGAGTATGGAAATTGCAGAAGCCAGCTGCCAGACCCGCTGCAGCTTGTGGTGGTACTGAGGACCTACTGCAGCTCGTTTTCTCCTATGCTTGTTTAATGAGCTTGCCTGGGCGTCGGGGTATACTTGTATTTCCATCTCTGTGTGTATTCTCAGTGGTGAGTCAGTACACACCCACTAGGTCTTTCCAGGGTTGTCTGTTCATCTTACAAAACAAGGCCTTTGAATCAGCAACAAACCAAGTGAAAAGGATTCTGTATTCCCTATGCTGGACCGAGTACTGAGAACGTAAACTGACAGTTTGTGTTTGTTGTGGAACAATAAGCCACTCCAGAGAGCTGGGCTGACTGTTAGGAGGAGATCAATCTAGATTCTTTGCAAATCAACAGAAGTGGAGGTAATCCTCCCTTTTTCCCATGCTTCTCTGCAATTGTCTCAGGTAGAGCTCCTTTATTTTTGGCTACCCTGACAGATCCTTGGCTTCTGACTGACCCCCTTGTTCTTTCCCGCACATGTGGACTAAGAGACCAGCTTCAGCAGCCACTGATTGGAGAAGTCTTCACTCCCTGCTTGCAGAAATCTAAGAGGAGGGAGTGCTTCTCCTGCCTCCTTTCCACTCAGCCTTCAGTGGGAAGGTTGAAGGCAGGCGTCGCCCACAAGGACGCCTCTGTCACCTTCAGAGGATAGCTTACTGCCCTCCTCCCCTGTAGCAACGTGGTCACTTTTCCAAAAATAAAGGCAGGGATTAGGATTGGCTGTTCCTGGGACAACTGTTCTGGCTTATTAATACATTTTTGTAGTTGCCCAGTCCCAGACATTCATTCCTCCGCTATGACATGAGACGTAACTATAACCCCAGGAAGCACTGTGCTCTTCCCCGGGAATGGTGCCGCACAGGCCTTGTGTGGTTCCCTCTGGGGTGCCTGTCCCGAGGAGAAGCACACAGACGTGAAGTGGCAGTGATGCAGCAGCACAGAGGGAGAGGCCTACAGAAACAGGCCTGCCGAGGCGCCTGTTCTCCCAGCCCTGAAGATACCCGGCACCCCAGCCCACACCACCCCCTCCCCCCAAAAAAGGCATTAGTGGAGTCTTTCCTGTCCTTTGGGCAGGGTAAGATGCCTATGGATTTGCTTCCCTGGACATTCCTCTTCTAGATTTGATCCCTGGTGGTGAGCACGAAGCCTATCAGTCTTCTCCATTCGTGATTAAAAAAATAAGTAAGAAAAACGAAAAACAATCCTGCCAGACATAAATGTCATCTGTTTGTATTTATGCGGTTTGCTCTGCCCAATCGACCTTTCTGCCCAGGTTTAATGATGCCACTTAAAAAGCCATTCACACGGCCTCACTCCTTCCAGAGCTTTCACGCTGAAATTGATTTCTGCCTTCAGCCCCTTTCTCCCCCTTCCCAGCCGGACCCCAGCCCCAGCTCCTTCCCCAGCCTGCTTATATGTAAGTGCTGTCACTGGGCAGTGGGCTGTTGGGTTGTTGGGGTTTTGTTATTGCCACATCCATTAAGAAGTAGCGACAGTTCCGATGCTAACGGATGCCACCTGCTTTTGGCTAGAGGAAGAGAAGCATAAAAATCAGCTCATCAGCCGAGGCGAAGCGCTGTGTCCTCGGCTGAGTGAAGGAACAGCGCTCCAGGCCAGCGGGGGAGGACTCGCTTGGGTGGGGGCAGCAGGACAGGCGAGGCTGCCTTTGTTTGTGTTAGGATGGTAGAAAATAGCAGGGACTAGCTTCTTGCCTGCCACTGAGCCCCCTGATCACCTCTTGCAGTTGCATGTTGGTATCAGGGAGAGCTCCCACTGCCTTGTTTATACCCACCCCCGACATACTCCCACATAGTGCCTCCCTCTCCCCACCCTGCCTCTCTAGGCCCAGGGCACTAAGCTCAGATTATGAGCTGCCTTCTGGGAAAACTGGATTTGGTTATTTTTGTCTTGGCCCCTCAGGTGGCAGCAAGGTATTTGAAGAAGCTCGGTTGCAGAGACTGTGGAGCCAGTTGGGCTTCTCGAGTGGGTTGGGGAATAAAAGGCTCAGAAGGGTTGTGAGCAGGCAGGGACTGTCCTTCAGCGTGTGACGCCACCCAGCTGCCATTTCCCCAGGGCCCGCTGCAGGCCACGCTGATGAATGCCCTGTCCCTCGCACCAGGGGATGGGGAGATGCGAACATGTCTCTCTGACTATTTGTGCTCTCTGATTAGATGAACCCTGGAAGGTGGGGGTCACAAATTGACTGTTGGCTGGAATGTGATAGATGCTTTGTCTCCTGAGCAGCTCCCTCAGGCCCCCCACCATTTCTCTTCCTTTTCTGTGACCAACGCTACCTGAGAAAAGTAATCACGCTCCCTTCCCAGCATGACTGGTGCCCAGGGCAGGGGCTGTGGCTTTTCCCTTCATGGGAAGCAACAGTCATGGTGTCTACAGCAGCCCAGAGTGTTGGCCATGAAAGAAAACAGCAGCCCAGAACGGCTGGGCCCCTTCTTCTCCCTCACGTGAGCCAGCCCACCAGCGCTGGGGCTGTAGCCTGTAGGTGGAGAGCAGACCCTCCCTCTGCACTCTGTGTGTATGTATGTGTGTGTGTGTGTGTCTGTGTCTGCCTCTCCCTCTCCCTGACTGCTTGCTTTTCACTGGGAGGACTCAGAACTGAATCCTCCTCTTCAGTGCGCCCTGTCCGCCTACTGTGCTGGGAGAGGATCCAGCATTCCTGGCTGACCAGCTATAACGTCGAGGACATGGACAATCCGGTGGTCTTCAGAGTAGAGGGCCCAACCCTTCCACTCCATTCCTGCTGTGACTCGCTGCCCTGGCTCAGAACCTGCGTTTCATTCTGTGTGCTTCAGCAGCTTCCTCACCAGCCTCCTCCAGTTAGTTCCTCCCTCCCTTCCCATCCTGTATGTGGCCACTTGAGTTAGCTCTCCAAAGCACAAGCCCCATTGCCAACACCTACAGGATGAAGTCCAAACTCCTCAGCAGGGCCTGCTTCAAACCGTGACACACACACACACACACACACACACGCACCTCTACTGTTTGTTTAATTAATCTCTCTCCCTAATAAACTGTCCAGTCCATGAGGGCAAGGACCAAGTTTGTTTGTTGGATACCCAATGCCCAGCATAATAACTAGCACGTAGTAAATGTTCAGTAAATGCTTGCCACATAAGCAAATAATGCTTCTCCTCTCCGACTGCTTTCCCTGTATAGCCTCTAGGTGTTAGCACCATGAATTATGACTTCTTAAACATGACATACATTCCCATACCATCTTTACTGCTTGGGCTCCAGCCTAATCCACTCCATCCTGGCCCAAGAAATATTCTGATGGCCCAGTGATATCCAGAACCCCCGAGATGACTGACTTACCTGCAGCCATTACCCCAAAAAGCCCAGACTGGGGCCTGCGCCCACTCAACATTTGAGCAATCTGACCTAGACCTTGGCAAGACTCATCTCACACAGAAGGGAGGACTGTTTGCTCCAGCACACCGAAGGACCCTTCCCCCACCAAGGAAGACCAGAGAAGGTCGGCATGTAGAACTCCGGTGGTCTGGGAAAGGGTGTTCAGAGCTGAATCCGCACCGTCTCAGATTCCTGACTTTCCCCTTAGGACTGGCTGAGCCTTCTGGCAGAAGGAAGGCCAAAAGACAGTTGGAATTCACAACCAACTGCTCTCTTCCCATCCCTCAGGAGTGTCACCTTCTGGACCAGGTGTGGTGGTCATGCAGCTGAATGTCCCTAATGGACCCCAAGCTCCCCAGAACCCATCCATGGTCCAGTGGAGTCACTGTAAATATTACAGTGTGGACCAGCGGGGGCAGAAGCCTGGAGACCTGTACAATCCTGAAAGTAGCCCCCAGGTGAGCACTGCAGCCTGTCCCATCTTGGCAAGGAGGTAGCTAGGTTCCTCCCAGAGAGCAATCTTGTGCACTTGACTACGTCACACCTCGCTCCCTGGGCACTCTTGTAGAGACATAAGGAAATAGAGGAGGGTGCCGCCTTTTAGGGAACCTAAAATCTGAGGTGGGAGATGGGGCGGGGTGCACGTGGAGTGGCTCAGAAGACTTACAACCGGCCGTCAACAGCACCCGTGAGAAGGGTTTCAGCTGATTGCCCAGGGCCACAGGGCAGCCTGGCTTTGGCACAGGGACGGCTTTCCTGTGGGAGCTGAGCCATAGGGTAAGGTTTACTCTCTGTGTGATTTGGGCAACTCTCTTCCACAGGCCAACACGCAGATGAGCAGCAGCCCTGTCCCGTCTCCTACCCAGTCCCCAGCACCCCCTCCTGTCACCAGCCTCAGCAGCGTCTGCCCAGGACTCAGTCCTCTGCCCGTCCTCCCACAGTTCCCCCGGCCGGGGGGTGCGGCCCAGGGTAAGGAGCTGGGTTGGAGCTGACTGCGGAAGGGGTGAAGTTCAGGGAGGAGATCTCGAGGACAGTGACAGACGGGAGCCCAGGTGGCTGGTCCAGTTCCGAGACGGAGTCTTCTTTTCTACTTAGAAAACTTCTGGAGAATTGTATTCTTCTTTGGGCGAAGGACACCCACCCCTCTAGTGCCGCCCCACAGTTAACTTACTACCAGGTGTTCACTGCCAAGTAGGGTTGGTGACTATGGGTCCTGGCAAAACAGCTCATGGATCTTTCTAGTGACCATCAGTTTAACCCAGCAGTGCTGAGTCTGCCATCTGGGGAAGTGGGACTGTGCCGGAGCGGTAGGGTTTCCGAAGAGGGAACACTGCATTGGGGTTCAGAGAGATTGGGTCCAAGCTGTTTCCACCAGTCAGTCATAGGATGGGAATGTGGTTGTAAAACTCAGTAAAAGGCCTTTGAAGTGGACTTGTATCCATAATAACAGCGAATGCATACAGAGCTTCATATGTGCCAGCCATTACTGAAAGTGCCCCCTAGATGGTGTTCAGCACTACTGAGGGAACCCTCTGCCCAACCTCACATTCCTGCTATCAGAGCTGGGATTTGACCCCAAGTTAGTCTGCGCCCTTGTTCCCTAGACTCTCACCACTCACATGGGTCAGGAATGTGAGCCCCGGTTAGGAGAGAAGACATTGACTGGGAAGGGCCTGTAGCTTTCCTCCCTGACCCCTTTCCTAGGGGCCTTTTGTCAGCTATGGGCAGAGCCTTTTTCCAGGGTGAGGGGACCTAATAGCCCCATTTGACTCTGAGAACCATGGGGCTTAGGAAGAGTCACAACTCTTAAATTAGTCACATCGGCACTGCCATCAAAGAAATGCAGGAGTAGGACACACTGTTGCCGTCCATCCCCAAGCCTCTTAAAGTCTCATAAACGTCATCATGCCTCGAAGCTCAGACTCCCAGCTCACCACCTGCTCTTCCTCCTAGGGGACAGCCGCTACTCCCTATTGGGCCAGCCATTGCAGTACAATCTGTCCATCTGCCCACCCTTGCTCCATGGTCAGTCAGCATACACAATGCATCAGGTAAGGGTGTACACCTTCCCTCTCCCTCAGCCCTCCTCATTTGTAGCCTAGTTCTGAACCTCCTGCCTTAACCTATGTGTTAGACAAGGGAAACAGCACAGAGCGAAGGGAGAAAGTGGGAGAGGCTAAAGGGTCTTGGCCCCTCCACCCCTACCCCTGTACTCAATTCTTCCCACTCACCCTGGTGCCAAGGGGAAACGGCTTTTTGCGTCTCCATGGTCACGGCCCGGCCAGTCTGTCTGGTGGGTTGGGGGTCATCACTGAAGTAAACGTTGGGATGGATTGCACTCAATGTTGTTGGCCTGCGATGAGGGTTCTTTTGACTGTTGAAGGCACAGAGTGGACTGAAGCATGGAAACCGAGCCAAAAGACAAGCACTCAAGTCTGCCTCCACTGACCTGGGGACTGCAGATGTGGGTGAGTGACAGGGAGCCCAGCAGTGCCACCCCTGGGAAGGTCAGAAAAGCCAGTTTGGGATGGGGAGTGGGAACGAGATGTTTTAGGAAGCAGGGGAAAGTCTCGGTTCTCTTTACCACGCCATCCCCGGCCCCGGGGAAGGAAATGGTAACCATCGGAAGCACACCTTGAGGGGGCCCCTGAGCCTATTTATTTACTAACTAGCCCAGAGTCCTCCAGAAGCAGTCCTGACCCTAGCCTCTGATCTCGCCTTCTGCTCGCCAATTCCAGAGGAGACTTGACAGAGAATAGGGGTGGGTGTCTGCCTTTCTGAGGGCCGTCCATCCAGGCCATGCAAGATCTCAGATTTCCTCTGTTGGAACCACTTTGCTAAACAAGGAAAGAGAAATGACTCCTCTCGATGATAAGAAGGAAGAACTAGCCTCAGTTTGACACCTTAAATTGGTTCAAGGAGGCGGCAGCAAAACCCACAGTGTAGGTGGCACCCTGAGAGGGAGCTGAAGGGCCAGGGGACGTCACAAAGTTTTTTGGGGAAGCCCATTATTATTTCATCCCATTTTCCCATGAACTTTCTGGAGTCCCCTCTTAGAAGTCCCCAGAGGGTAAGCCTGGGATTCGGATTCCCATCCCCTCCTTGCCTGTGTCTCCGGGCTGCAAGAAAAGGAAAGCTTCCGCTTGTCCGGTTGCCCTGCTGAAAGTGTAGGTGGGAGGGCATTGTGCCGACTGGGGGCAGGGAGGCCTGAGTGGGGAAGGCTGAGCTTTGGAGGATAGTATATACAGATGTGGTCAGCTGGATATGCCTCCGCCAGGATGCCGTCCAGTTCCCTGCCCTCCTGGTGGCTCATGGTTCTGCCCTTTCTTCCTCTCCTAGTCCTGGGGCGGGTGCTGGAGGTGACGGATCTCCCTGAGGGCATCACGCGGACGGAGGCCGACAAGCTCTTCTCTCAGCTTGCCCTGTCCGGCGCCAAGATCCAGTGGCTCAAGGATGCACAGGGGCTGCCCGGCGGGGGCGGGGGGGACCGCGGGGGCACTGCCGAGAACGGCCGCCACGCAGACCTCGCTGCCCTGTACACCATCGTGGCTGTGTTCCCCAGCCCCCTGGCCGCCCAGAACGCCTCCCTTCGCCTCAACAACTCCGTGAGTCGCTTCAGACTTCGAGTGGCCAGAAAGAACTATGACCTGAGGGTCCTGGAGCGAGCCAGCTCCCAGTGAGCGGAGATGGGAAGGAGCAGCACAGGACCCAGACCGACCGGGGCCCAGGCAGGAAGTAGGGAGACCACGCCAAACCGGAGCCTAAGACCGTGTGGACGACGATGGGAACAGACCAGCGCGACGGCCGCCTCGATGCCGCTGTGGCCCTGGCCAGCTCCTCTCGCCTCCCTCTCCTTCCCATCCTCTTCTGTCATTTTGTATCTCTTCTCCCACCATCAAATTACGTTTCTTTCTCCCTTTTTTTGGCCAGGTAGAATTAGGAGGGTCCCATACTCCCTATTCTCCTATTTCCTTATCATCCCAAGCTCCCTTTTCTTTTCTGGTCTTTATGAATATATTTATATGGACAGAATTAAGAAAAACGAAATTGATTTCCCCTCCCTCTTACTTCCCCCATCTTGTCCCCCAACACCCCACAGTTTCCCGCGGGCCTCCTCCTGCCCCAGAACACTTGTCTATTGTTTGTTTGAGGCTGTGCCACAGTAACAGACACAGTATTTAATTGCACATACAGATGTTTGCTGGGTATATTTACTGTACATTTTATTTAATCTGGTTTTTTGTTTGTTTGGGGGGCTATTTGGGGGGAGGTTGGTTTTGTTTTTAAATATAAAAAAAAATCTGTCACTGGACGTCAGTCCCCGTTTTTCTGTCGCGGCCCTGTTGGGGAGGGTTGGGGCTGGAGGGCCTGGGAAATGTAGCCCACAGCTGTTGGAGGGGCCCACTATGCTCTGGGTGGCTTTCTCTAACACACACACACACACACACACACACACACACACACACACACACACCCCTTCCCTGACACTACTCCCCTCCCTTCGGTTCCCCTGCCGACAGTTCTAATGGATGGCTAGGGCACTAGTGAAACCTTGGTTCTGGGCCTTTCCATCTCGACCTCGGACCACTGTGTACAATTTCCAGGGGACCTCTGCGGTTCCTTCCAGCTGTTAATTCTGCAGTGTGCACCGAAGGCCCTGTCCCTGAGTTTTTCAGTCCAGAACTGAGTCGGTGTGTTGGTGGAATATCCTACCCCATCTAATCTTGTGAAAGCCCTTTGGGGTGGACCACTGGGCCTTTCTTTGATCCTAAAGCCGGACACTTGGGTTCTACAGAAAGGGGTGCTTCTTGGAATACTCACTGCATTGGCTGAACTGGTAGCAAAAGACCGTGTGTTACCTAGGTGTGCACAGTGTCCCTATCACCTGAAGAAAGAAGAGCATAAGTTCCCCTGCTGCCTAATGGAGCTCCTATATCTGGGGCTTTGCAAAGTTCTGCAATTCTGTGGGGTCAGGACCGTTTAAGAGCTCAGCCCATAGCCTCAAAACCAGTAAAACACAGCCGCTCCGAGAGAGAGAGAGAGAGAGAGAGAGAGAGAGAGAGAGAGAGAGAGAGAGAGAGAGAGAGGGAGGAAGCTGCAGTGGGTGGGAGGGCAGAGCACAATGCCCTGGGGGTCTCTGGGCAGACTTCAGGAGCCCTGCTTCTCACAGCACAGGGATGGTGCAGCGCTGCTCAACCACCTGTCCATGTTCTCTCCAAGACGGTGCTGTGTCGTCAACCCATGTCACAGCCCAAAGACCTGGAGAAGCTGCACCCCCCTCACTCATTACCACATCAGGACATATGCTGGGCTACTCAGGGAGGGAGTGGAAGAAATCCAGTTGATTTTGGAAGTGTCAGCTGTGGCCATCCTACCTCCGAGAGTTGACAATTCACAGGAGAAAAGAGCCTGTCTAGAGATGAGAACTCCCTGTGTGGCAGACATCGCTCTGTGCACATTAACTAGACCATTCCTGCCTGGGTGTCAGCCCCCTACTCCTCAGATGGTGGAAGCAGTAGCCTGTTTGAGCTATGCTACGCTGCACTTGACCCTAGGGAGAGAGTTTTCCAGGAAGAGGAGAGGGGACATGGCTGCAAGCACCTGGCGGGAACAGAGCAGTCCTACAGCCCTTACTGGGAGGGGAGCTCCGATGACCCAAAGGCTATACAAATCCATGCTCCCCAAAAGACAGAAGGTTAAGTTACAGTCCGTAGTTCCTAAAGTAGATCCAGAGGGTGGGATTGGGGAGGTATTTGGACCATGAGAAGTGGGACGGTCCGCTCAGTAATGCCTCCAGACTCCACCTTCAGTGGCCTACAACCCCTCGAAGGTGTGTGTGTGCCCCATGAACAGAAACGGCCCCTTCCTGCCAGAATGGGGGGATGGGAGGGGTTCTGGTCCAGCCCTGCCCCAGTCCTCCTCCCAGTGTCTGATTTCTCTGTGTCAGCTGTGTCGCCAGCTGTCCCCTGCCCTCCAGCCCTGTCATTTCAGCTCTGACGCCAAGGAGAGAGGCTAGGAGGTCTACAGACACCGCCTGGGTAGCCGGTGTGAGTACGGAGGGTTCTGGGGGGCCCCAGCCCCTCGGGGAGAGAACCGGTCCTCCCCCAGCACCAAGGCCCCAGGGCATCCGGCCCCGAAACTAGACTGGCTGAGGGAATCCCATCCGGAAGTCGAGTCCCCGCTTCTCCTTTCCCTTTCCAGGACCGTTGCTCACCAGCATCCCCAGGCTTTCACCTCTTCACCCTCTTTATTTTTCTACCGCTCTGTGAGCAGTTTCTGAGAAGTTCTTCAGATTCTACCCAGAACTAGAGCTTGGACTGGAGGGCGGGTGGGTGGGGTCAAGGGGATGGAGCAGCAAGGGAAGTAAAGGCTCATATTACCGCGAAAACTTAAAATAGCTAAGGCCTGAGGCAGGCTGGGAGGGATCTAGGCGAGAGGCCCCCAGAGCTCCGAAAGGAGGTAGGGGACAGTGGCCCCAGCCCCTCTCTCCACACATGCAGGTGGACAGACAATGGGAGACCTCTGGAAGATGAGCTCTGGGAAGGGGTGCCCCGTCTCTTGGGAAGGGGTGCCCCATCTCCCACTGCCTTCCCAGAGAAACATGGTACCTGTAGGAAAGCCCCCTTGGACTCGCTCCGAGTTGTAAATGCTGGGGCTGGCCCTCGCCGTGGAGGGCTGGGGAGGTTCGCTGGTTTCTGGTCGTCCGTGGAGTGTTTGGTTCATAAGACCAATGCCTCTTAGGCTTCCTTCCATTCAGGGGATAGGAAGAGTGGCAGGCAGGAATTAGCTTTCATTGTGGGGTCCCACCTCTTGCAGGATGACAGAAAAGGAGGTGCTGGAGCCCCCTAAGCCCTCCTCCCCTGCAGAGTGAGGTGAGTCTGTTTCGTGAGCATCACAATTCTGGGGACCTGGGGAACCAGGAGAGCCTCTGAGGAACAGTTCCTAAATTGGTCTCACTTGTATGTAACTCATTGCTTGTCAGAATGCCAGCCAGGCCGTGCGGCCCCCCAGAGCCACTTGTCCTGGGTGTGGGCATGAGAAAAATACCCAGTTGGCTTCAGCTTCACATCCTCTAGAACAGCAGTTCTCAACCTGGGGGTCAAACGACCCTTTCACAGGGGTCACCCAATTCATTGCAGTAGCAAAATGACAGTTATGAAGTAGCAATGAAAATAATTCTATGGCTGAGGGTCACCACAACACGAGGAACTGTGTTAAAGGGTCGAGGCATTAGGAAGGTTGAGAACCGCTGCTCTAGAGAGAGTGACAGCTAGGGTCACATCAGACTTCCTTCACCTCTGCCTTCCCTCCCTCAGCTACAGCGACTAAAGCACAGTTCAGGAAGGGGTCTATGGAGACAAAGGAGGCGGAGGAGCTTCCCCCCGAGCCCCAGGCCAATGGAGAGGCAGTGGGGGCCGGGGGTGGGCCCATCTACTACATCTACGAGGAAGAGGAGGAGGAGGAAGAAGAGGAAGAAGAGTCACCTCCAGAACCTCCTAAGCTTGTCAATGATAAGCCCCACAAATTCAAGGATCATTTCTTCAAGAAGCCCAAGTTCTGTGATGTCTGTGCCCGGATGATTGTGCGTGAGTCACCAAGGGGAGCGGAGAGGGTGACGTTGGGCAGGGTGGAGGTGGGAGGTGGTTTAAGAGGTGAGCATTTGTGTAGCAAACAGGCTGTGCTAGTGTTTGACCTCAAGCAAATACTATCACGAAAAAACAAAAAACACCCCAAATGGGAGAGTGTGAGGTTCCAGACAGAAAGGGGACCCCGGGAGCTAGAGTAGCAGCCCAGGGCAATCGGGGACCTCACCCGAATGCTCTCCCCTTTCCCAAGTCAACAACAAATTTGGGCTTCGCTGTAAGAACTGCAAAACCAACATCCACGACCACTGCCAGCCCTACGTGGAGATGCAGCGGTGCTTCGGCAAGATTGTGAGTAGGCCGGCCGGGGCGGGACCGGAGGGGCATGTGGCCAGCCCCTCTCTAGAGGCATCCCATTGATTTTCCTTTCTCAGCCCATCTCTTAACTCATAAGAACGGGTGAACACACCCTTGAAGAGAAGGGCCCTGGGTCCCACCTTGCTATCACTAATGTTCCCTCCCATCCCATCCTACAGCCCCCTGGTTTCCGCCGGGCCTATAGTTCCCCACTCTACAGCAACCAGCAGTACGCTTGTGTCCAAGATCGCTGTAAGTGCCCCATGTGGGACCTGGGAGAGTGGGCAGGCCTGGAGGTGGCTTCAGTACCACTCCAGCTTTGGTGGCCAGATTCCTAAACAAACGATTCCCCGTGCTTCTCTCTGAACCTCCTATTCACAGCCATCTTGGATAGAGTCCATTTTATAGCTGAAGACGTTGGGATTGAGCTAGGGCTATGCACCCAGCAAGAGACTGCCGAGAGAGGTTGCTCTGGGCACGTAGAACCATTTCTGAGTGAGAGCAAGGGTTCCAGACTCGTCTCAGCCCTGTCACAGAGCCCTGCCAGACCAAGAGCAGTCAGCTTCCTGGACACATCCATAGTTTGGCAACCTCTGACAACGTATTCATTGATGATTTGCTCAGCACTTACTTGGAGTAAAGGCAGAACCCTGTGAGGAGTGTACGTGAGAAAGAAGCTTCTCTGGGTAGTAGTGCCCTCTCTCGCACAACTCTCTAAGCAGGGCAAAAGCCAGCTGTTATAGGACCCGCGTGTCTCAGAAGGAGAATGATTATCCAAGCATGCCCCCGCTTCCAAGCAATTTACCAAAGTTGTCAACCTCTCGGAGGCTCTGCCTGGAAGAAATCCTGGTAAATACATTTTCCCCATTACGTTACCAGCAACCAGTGATGTATTTTAGAGCCCTTTCTGCATCAGTGACCCAGGTACGGCCCAGCTAATACCCTCTTATGATCCTCCTTGGCTTGCCCATGGGTATCTGGTGCAATCCCACCTCTCCTTCTCTTACATGGTGGCTCTTTCCTCCAAGCCTTCTTCTGTGTCCACAGTAATGTCTGCCTTCTTTCTTCTCCCACCCGCCCTAGCTGCTGCTAATCGCAACGACCCTGTGTTTGAAACCCTGCGCACAGGGGTGATCATGGCAAACAAGGAACGGAAAAAGGGACAGGCAGATAAGAAAAATGTGAGCGCATGAAACCTTCCCACTAGGGTTCTTCTCATATACCTCGCACGGGACAGAGCGTGTCCCGCCTCTGGAGAGCTCACTGGGTCTTTTAGGGGGTCTTCTTCCCCTAAAAGCGCCGAGTTTTGTGTGCAATTGTAGAGTGGCTGGGGCTGCAATAGCTCGCCGCAGAGGGTGGTTTTGTTCTGAAGGACCTCCCTTCCGAAAAATTTAGTTTAACTACCATAGCCTCCTGTAGGCCAGGCCTTGTACGCCCAGCTCTGCCGATCAATGACAGGCCTGAGCCCAGCTCCTAGACTGGGGGAAGACTATGCCAAGCAAATGAGGAACTGGAGTGGCATAGCGGTTATGTACTGAGCTGCTAACTGCAAGGTCAGCAGTTCAAAACCACCAGCTGCTCCGTGGGAGAAAAATGAAGCATTTGACTCCTGGATAGTGCTCCAGTCTCAGAAACCCACAGGGACAGTTCTACCCTGGCTTTTGGGGTCACTGTGAGTCAAAACCAACTCAATGGCAGTGACTTATGGAGGGCTGTGTTGTTGTTGTTTTTCATACCAAGCAATCAGAGGATTCTAGAGCTGTGCAAGGACCAATGAAGGTCATCTGGCTGACCCCTTCATGTTCTCGATGAGGAAAACCCAGAACGCAGGCCCATGGCCTTGATTCAATTCCAACTCAGCTCAGCCCTACAGACGAAGCCCTCGTCTTCGTCTCCTTAGAACACACGTGGGTTTAAACTTCCAGCCTTGCTCCACCAGGCTCCTTCTCTATGAGGAAACAGACACAACACTAGTGCCAAAGGCCACGTTCCCTTCCTTCTCGAATAGGGTTGCTGGATTAGTAATACACAGACACAACCCTGCAGCAAGGATTCTGACAGTATCGTTCTTTGTGCCAGTCAGACTGGACTCGTGGCTGAAGGTTGGGCAGAATGTTTCCTAGAACTGATTAAGTGACGATATCCAGGGGTCCTGGTCCTTTCGGGCGTGTCCAGCTAAAGGGAGATTTGCAGTACCTTGTAACGTGGTGCTCCCTGGGGACAGTCTTCTCCCTGGCACAGATGTAAGTGGTATCTTCATTAAGCCTGTGGGAACGGGAGCACTAGGGGAGGGAACTTACACAAAGAACGATGTACTCCGAACCATGTAGACCAGAAGAAGGGGCCAGAAGTTTGAACTTTGTAAGGAGAAATGCAGAGATCTGTTCTTGGATCTTTTTTTCTTTTTTTTAATCATTTTCTTGGGGGCTCATTTTTCTCCCTTGGGGACTCTTACAGCTCTTATAACATTCCATACATCAGTTGTATCAAGCAAATGTGTACATATGTTGCCGTCAGCATCTTCTAAACATTTACCACGTGAGCCCTTGGTATTGGCTCACCCCTCCCTTTTTTTTAATCAACTGCATAAAGCACAATTAAAAGTCTGAGCTCAAAGTGGTTGGTTGGTCAGAGTTGGGGCAGATGAAGGATTTCCGTAGCGGGGACTGTGTACCTTATTAGGCACTAGCAGTATGATTTGGCTGCTTCCAGAAAGGCTGGCACACTCTTGGGTTCTTTTCTCCTCAGGGAACTAGAAAAACGGTGCTGTCCCTGTTTCTTGTATACCCTCAAGTATTTTTAAGGATAGACTACATCGTGAAGGATCTGGATCCAGGGGGTAATTTGAAGGGTCATAGCAGCTGCCCTCCGATATTTTTAGGGAACGTATCAAATCAGGATCATTATCAGTCCTGGGGAGAATGGCATAGAGTTATTGTAGAGAATTGCCCTCAAATCGCATGGGGTTGCTTTGTGAGGCGGTGAGCTCCTTGTCCTTACCTACATTCAGGCACAGTGTGAGGGACCCACCTGTCACTAGTCTCTCCTCCCAGCCCTGAGCTCCTGTTCTGTGTTCCTTGGCTTGCCTGGAGAGCCAGGGTACCAAGGGCTTCCCAAGGCCCTTTCTCCCTAATGCTCGCTCGTGCCCCCTCCAGCCTATAGCAGCCATGATGGAGGAGGAGCCAGAATCAGCCCGGCCAGAGGAAGGAAAGCCCCAAGTTGGTGAGTGTCACCTACCTCTCTCCACCGGAGTGGATAGGGCCTCACCTGTGGCCTGGGCTGGAGGGCAAAGGGCAGGGCAGTCATGGACACGGGCAGGTGAGAAGATAAGGCAGCCAGAAACAATCTCATGTTTCCCATCCCAGGAAACCCTGAAGGGAATAAGAAGGCCGAGAAGAAGTCACCAGATGACAAAGTGAGAACCCTCCCTCCCTGCAAGGACCCCCACCGTAGGTCTGACACTCCTCGGGTCTTTGGCAGAAGCTCACATGTATCCCCAGGTTCCCATCCCTCTGGACACACGGAGAACTGTGATGTAATGTGTCTGGAGAATGCCTGAACGCTCCCCCCTGTCCGTGTGAGCTGAAGCCCGCTCATTATCCTGCACCCCTCTCCCTAGCACAAGCAGCCCGGCTTCCAGCAGTCTCACTACTTTGTGGCTCTGTACCGGTTCAAAGCCCTGGAGAAGGATGATCTGGATTTCCCGTGAGCCGCTTCGAGAGAAGCGGGGTACCCGGAAGGAGGGAGGGAAGAGTTGGGCTACCAGTGGAAAAGGGCGAGGGCTTTGGGCCTGTTGGGAGTGGAGGGGGTATTGCATGTGAGTGAGGCCCTGCCTTCTGCTCCCAGGCCTGGAGAGAAGATCACTGTGGTTGATGACTCCAACGAGGAGTGGTGGCGGGTAAGACAGGTGGCTGAGGCTAGGGAAGGACTTGGGCTGAGTGCTTAGAAGCTAGTACCTGAGAGATTGGGTCTCCTACCATCTCCCTTAGGGGAAAATTGGGGAGAAGATCGGATTTTTCCCACCAAACTTCATCATTCGGGTCCGTGCTGGGGAGCGTGTGCACCGCGTGACGAGATCTTTTGTGGGGAACCGTGAGATAGGGCAGATCACTCTCAAGAAGGATCAGGTATCCACAGGTCCAATTGCTCCACCTCATATTCCTGGGGGTTCGTAGCCCATTAAGAGACTAAGATGACCCTGTAACCCTGGATTCCTCCCTTATTGCCCACCCAGCCCCCCAACCCGCATCCTGACTGATTCCTCTTCTCCGGCTCCCTTCAATCCCCCCAGATCGTGGTGCAGAAAGGAGACGAAGCCGGTGGCTATGTCAAAGTCTACACCGGCCGCAAGGTGGGGCTGTTCCCCACCGACTTCTTGGAGGAGATTTAGGGGTGCTGATGCCTGCAGGCCAGAGATACACCTTCCCCATTCTGGGCGGACCTAGTTGAGGTTGGGAAGGAAAGGGGCAAAGGCAACTGGACTCGGGTAGACCAAGCGGGTGGGAAGGCCGTCAGCAGAACGGGGCTTCTGGGAAAGAATTGGTTCCCTGCCCCCCTACCCTCAGACCTCTGCCCAGTGCAGCCCGCACCCGTTCGGGCCAGTCAGCCGCTAACGCTGGAAAAGGGAGAAAGTCTCCACTAAGAGAGCGCGCGGGGGTGGGGTGGGGGTGGGGCGGGATTGTGGATACTGTCCGTTTATTAAAGTTTTTGGAAAATGTTGGAACTAAGTTTGATCTTTACCTGGGGGTCTGAGGTAGGAGAGGTGGAGAACCCTTCCCAGCGGTCGCATTGCACTGCCATCCGGTAACCCGGGACCCACTCACCTGGACTGAGGCTTGCAGGAAGTGGGGGAACCGGGCCGCTGCTTGGCGTGGTTTTTAAAGAAGAGATCGCGGGATGGGGATATTACCGCCCCATCGCGCTAAGGCTCGCAGCTGCAGCCGCGGATAAAGGAGATTCAGCTGAAGGCAACTTCCGTTTCGAGCCTGGCTCAGCGCTGGTCTGGCCACCAGGGGGCGATGCAAGATCTCGGTTGGAGACCGAAGGACCTAAGGGGAGAACCAGACACCAAGCCCAAGACCCTAGGCTTAGGAGGGGGTGGGGTGCGTGCCGTCTCCATGGCAACACTTCCTCTAGTCCTCTGGGAATCGAGCGAGCAAAGCGGGGAGAGGGGGACGATGCCCCCTCCCGCAAAGCCCCCTCCCTCCTCAACCCTTTCCGACAGGTAGCGAGTGAGAGGGCGCGGGGCCGACAGCTCCCCAGCTCTCACGGAGACCCCCTGCGGCGCGTCGTATGCAAACGTTATTATTTGCATATGCAAATATGTAAATGTGCCGGCCCCGGTCAAGGGCGGCAGGTGGCGGGGAGCCGCAAAGTGCAGGGAAGGGAGCAGAAGGAGACGTGGAGTTTGGGGACCTGGGAGCAGACCAGTGAGAGGCAGCTTGGGGTGGTCGCTGGAGTGGGGCAGGCGGAGAGTCTTAAGCTTGATGGCGGTGGGGGAGGGTCTGGGTGGCCAGCCGGGAGCTCGGCTCCTCTGCCGGTTGTCTGCCAGGCCTGAGGTTGGCTGCCTAGCAAGGTTGGCAGCGGGAGCCCGGGCACCATCTGCTGCTGGCGGAGGCTCAGCTGGGTTGGGAAGAAGGGGGCCGGGACGGACGCGCCCCCTTTCCTTCCAGACGGCTGAGGCATGGAGGGGGTAGGGAAGAGCACTGAAGATTAGTTGCCCAACTGGCTTCGGTCTACAACCTTCCCTTTGCCCTTGACTGTGCGGACGCTTGGGGCCGGCGCAGGGCTCATAAAAGATCAGGTAGCCCACCTTTCAGCACGCGTGGGCTGTAATAGGAGCACCCCCACCCCCAAACACACATCACACTCCTTGGTCCCCCAAGGAGGGCGCCGATCTTCATCGACTGGTCCGAGGGACTCAAAGCTGGAGCACCCCCTCCCCCGCCCTGATCCTCGGGAGGGCCCCCCGTAATGCTGAAGCAAAACCAATTTACTGGCTCATTGGGCGGCAGTGCTGGTGGGGGTGTCAGAGGAGCAGGGAGAACGGCTGTTCTCCCCCTACACTCGGGGGGCGCCCCGCTTCCCCGCCTCGCGGAGCCGGCAGCTGTCCCTAATTAGAGCGGCGGTTTAATTGGATTTATCAGCAGTTAATAGGAAATTAAGCAAAGGGCCCGAGAGGGGGGGCGGCGGGAGGAGCGGGGAAGCGGGTTGTGCTGAGCTTAAAAAGCGGGTGCTGAGGTGCCAAGGGTGGTGTTGGACAAGGTCGGGGGTCGAGATCAAGTCCGTGGCCACGCCCCGTCCCCGCCCACCAGTTAAGCCCGCGCCCGCGGCCCGGAAAGCGGATCCCTGGAGAGGCGGACGAGCCGGCCCGCGACCCTGCGTGCGGCAGGCCGCCCAGGTGATGGATGGTGGTGCCGCACGCGGCAAAGGTCAGAAGTCTGGGCCAAGGAGCGGACTGAATTGAAAACAGAAGGAGCCGAGTCCAAGACGTAATTCCCACCCCATCCCTTGCCGCCACTGCCCCTTCACTCTGAGCCAAAGGAAGAAAAGTGCCCTTTGAAATCGGAAGATTGGAGGAGCAACGACGACAGGGAGGCCACGGCTTGAGCCTCTCTTCACCCCCCGCCTCCCTCGGGGCCCGTGTGGGGCATCCAACCTCTGTCCCCCTGTGGCTTCGCGTTTGTGTGGCAGGAGGCCGGCCGGCCGGTCCGAGGCCAGGCAGGCCGCCCCGGGGGCGAGGGAAGCTGGCTAGCCGGCTGCAGGGCCCAGGGACCGCGGCCCGGCGGGAGGCAGGCGGAGGCGCGCGAGG